AGGGAGTTGATGTGATTCTCTTTGATGTCCTGAAGCCACTTCAAACCGTGCCAGAGGGAATAAAATTCATACAAGGGGATGTCTGTTGCCTGTCTGAAGTGGAAGAGGCTCTTAGAGATGTAATCTGTGTATTCCATATTGCTTCCTATGGAATGTCTGGCAGGGAGCAGCTGAACCGAAAACTTATAGAAGACGTTAATGTGAAAGGAACAGAAAATGTCATCCAAGCCTGCAAGAGCATGAGAGTGCCGAGTCTGGTTTATACAAGTACTTACAATGTGATATTTGGAGGCCAGATTATAGAAAATGGGGACGAATCTCTGCCTTATCTACCTCTTCACCTTCATCCAGATCACTACTCCCGGACCAAATCTTTAGCTGAAATGAAGGTGCTGGAGGCAAATGGTGCTGAGCTTGGAGATGGGAAAGGTGTATTAAGGACTTGTGCTCTCCGACCAGCAGGCATCTATGGGCCTGGAGAACAAAGACATCTTCCAAGAATAGTTAGTTACATTGAAAGGGGACTGTTTAAATTTGTATACGGAGATCCTCTTAGTTTGGTGGAATTTGTACATGTAGACAATCTAGTTCAGGCTCATATCCTTGCCTCTGAGGCCCTCAAGGCCAACAAGAAGCACATAGCTGCAGGCCAAGCCTATTTTATTTCAGATGGCAGGCCTGTAAATAACTTTGAATTTTTCCGACCGTTAGTGGAAGGTTTGGGTTACAAGTTCCCAACCTGGCGCCTTCCTCTCTCCCTTGTCTATTTTCTTGCATTCCTTACTGAAGTAGTTCATTTTCTTGTAGGTCATGTTTATAATTTTCAGCCTCTCCTCACTCGCACAGAGGTTTACAAAACTGGTGTCACGCATTATTTCAGTATGGAGAAGGCCAGAAAGGAGCTGGGGTATGAGCCTCAGCAGTATAGCCTGAATGAAGTGGTTGAGTGGTTTAGGTCTCGGGGATGTGGACCAAAGCCGAAAACATACACCATTATGCATCTTGTTAGGGATGGAGGATTGCTCTTGCTGCTGATTGCTGTGATGGTCTTATGGTTTCCATCTGCAGTTACATTTTCACTCTGAAAGATGAAATGCTGAGCATGGAGGACAGAATTCAGTTATGTTTTGACAGACAGGTAATAAAAAAATTAAAACCCAAACAAATACACATTTGTGTCATTCAGGTAAATATCTTTAACAGTTTTATCCCTAAGGAACAGAACTGCTGAGTAAAAAGGTGCAATTTTTATACATAGTTCCTTTTCAAAGTAAAATTGATCAGATCACTAACAAGATGAAGCTCAGTATTACCGCAAGCAGCATTTTATTTTCAGGTACAACAGCACACCACAGTGAATGGAACAAGACCAGGCTGGACGGGGCTCTGAGCAACCTGATCCAGTTAGCGGTGTCCCTGCTCACTGCAGGGGGGTTGGACTAGCTGACCTCTAGGGGTCCCTTCCAACCCAAACCATTCTATGATTCTATGAAGTGTCCTTAGACTGACCCTTCATTCTCCCTGATGGGATTATACTCGTGATCCCTGCCCTCTATTCCTAAAGAGTTTGTGCTACATGATCCAGAGGAGAATAAACTTATTCTTGGACCACAGTCCAAAACCAAATTCTGCTTTCCAGCTTAGATGTATATATGCCTAACCAAGATTACTGGATAAACTGCTAGACATTTTTTTTTTTTTTTTAATGACTACATTCTGGTATGCTTTTCTAAATCAACTCTGTGATATCTAATGACATTTCTCAAAAATGCACGATGGTTAATCTGTTACAGCAAAGTGCTTGAAGCAGCACAGATCTGTAGATTTTTCTAACAGTAAAATATGCCTGTTTAAAATGAATGAGCTAGCTAAAGTGCATTCATAAATAAGAAATATGATTTTTCCCAGCATTATTGAATGGTTAAACAAATAATCCATCAAAGACATTTGGTAAGTGATTACGTTCATGTTCCACTGTTTATAAAACACTTTTAGCCTTTAATAATATTTCTTCAATGCCTGACACCATTTGAATAGAACTTCACCTTTGTAGCAGGACAATAAACACTTGATACAGTGAAACTCGTAATTTTGTGGAGTTTTAAGAACAGAAAATAAGACCTTGCTAAGTACAGGTCACTACTGTCTCTAGCAACTCCCTCATCTCTTGTCAGTTTAATATAGGAAGAGATACCAAGACACTTCACCTCACAATGTCAAATCACAAAGTTGTTTTCCCTTAACCCATCAGCATTACAGTTTCAGTACTTCTTGATAAAAGGAAAGTCCTTCAAGAAGTTCACACTTCTCTTTAAACTTTAGTCTTTCCATTTGCATAGCTGAAACTACACTGATCTGAAATGAATTTTGTGTAAGTTCCAGTTACTTCAGTTCCGTTAAACTCTACTGCGATTTAAATGGGGAAGTGAAGAGGAAGTGACAGACTGTTCTACTGCATTGGTAAGGGATTCTCAGAAAACAAGAACGCTTAAATAAAGAAACCAAGCTGAAAGTCCACTGCCACCCCTGTTTAGAAGATGGAGATTTTTGTAGTTAATGATGACTGAAGACAGCATTACTTTTTGAATGTTTTCTTTTCCTGGTAAGTTTACCTTGGGAAAAAAAAAAACACTATTGATAACTACATATTTTATTTTGCTTGAAATCTGACTCTCCTCTTCTTTCATTCCCCTACCAGTCTGTACACCATGAAAGAAACTAAATTTAATACTTAGCTGGAGGGACAGCTCAAGGGAGAGCTTTTTTTTTTCTATAATAGCAAATAAATTGAGGGGGCCTGGGGCAGCGGTGTTTGTGTAGCAGGAGAGTTGCATTCCTTTATAAAGAGCTTATGTGCCTCCAACAGAGTGCTGACGGCAGAAGGGCTGCTTTCCAGAAGTCATTAAGATACATCATCATAGTCCGCAGAAAGAAGAAACCTTCTTTTTAATAGAACAGAAAAGAGACAGTCGTGACCTCATGAAAGCATTGGACTGCAGTTCTCTTTCCTACAGGCCCTGTTTTTTGAAGTGAAAACCTCTTGGTTATTTTCCCCTTTAAGTTCTCTGTTTTTTACACAGTGTTATCAGAAATAGATTAAAAAACTTCAATACCAGCAAAAGCAACTGACAAAACAACACGTACAAGAAATCACACAAGCCTGTTGCACAGAACCTTCGTATCGGTATTTCACGCTAAGTCTTGTAGAAAGATCTTTTTAAGATACGGAACATAACTCCTGTGCCCCAGAGGAATTTCTTCTGCTGTTTGGGATCTTTTTATTAGCAAAACGCAGCTGCTGCCTTTCATAATTATCTCAATGGTGGGGTTGGTGGAAAAATCTATGACTGGGTCCTAAACTCATGAAGCCTAAATCCACGCTGTTAGCGCTGGCTGAGGTGAAAGCCCTGGATAGCTTTTTAGGTACAACAGAAGAGAAGACCCAAAAAAAAAAAAAAAAAAAAAAAATCAAAACCCACAAATACCAGAACTCCTGCAGAAGCGGAGCTCAACATATGGACCTTTTCATTTGTCTGGAGTCAAGGACAGAACTTTCCCCTGGTAACAGACCAGGGGGGCATTATGTTGTCCTAACGGGCCATGACTCCTGCCTGAGCACGGGGTACTAAATCAGGTGCTTGTTAGGAGAAACAAGCAGCGGCTTGGCAATGGCTAGCCCAGGCCCCAGCAACAGGCACATTCATTAATTCCCTATCAGTCAGCCCCATCTAGTAAAAAAAGCAAGGTCCTGACTACAGAAGAGGTGAAGGATACTTTTCCTCTTTCCAAAATTAAAACAGGAAATCTGTGGCTTCAGGAGATGCTTTAAAATGGCTTGAAAATTATGTATGGATAAAGCCAGTCACAGCTGCTCTATTTTAAGCATTTTACAATGAGAATTCTCTCTCCTTCTCCCTGTCTTTTATTTGTTATTACTACTTTTGCTTAAATAGCTGAGTAAATGAATTAATTCAAGTGTTGTGTCTGTTGCCAAATTTCAATCTATTATCTGTTTTCCTGAAAGTGAATTACCAGAAATGCATCTAAAAACTGAAAAAGCAGAACTGAATATATAGCACAGCTTCAATTTTTCCTAGCCCTCAAAATTATTTAGCAATTGAGAGGTGCCTCACTATAAAGAATGATGCTGACATTTTAAGTGAATAGTTTAAGAATCTTTGGTCAGCTGCTTTACCTCACATACATGGCATGTCAAGGTAAAACTCTGCCAGGTATACATGAACAACTTACACTTCTAATGTATATTTAAATGTACTTATTTTAGAATGTCAGTCATCCTTAAAGTAGACCAGATTTTTATAGTGCCTTCTCCTAAGAGACCCAAGCAAAATTTTCCTTCATTTCTATTTATTACTAATGTCTACACAATTTCAACAATATAGTGGCATATTTAATAATTTATGATGTGATCCTCAGAGAAAAGTGTCCTGAGCGCTGATAATTTACACATACTGTAAAAGATCTGGGGATTAAATTGCAATTCAGGAGTACACAAGTGTTAAGGGAACTATTGCTTTATTTTAGTCAAGCTCATGATTCCCTCTTTTGCTAGAGCAACAGCTAAGAATGTAGGCTAGCAATGAATGAAACTGCACTTTACATTCTTTTAAAACTAATAGCTGCGCATGTTTATAAAAAATATTATGGATCAGAAGATAAGTTTGGCTCCAAAGTGATTCTGAAGGTTAATTTTCATTATATTTCTATTAACTTCTTTTTCTAATCATGTAAATAGAATTTCAGTCTGGAACAAAGTCAACTAGTTGGAAACGCTGGCTCACAACTATACCAGAATTCAACAACTGTACTTCAGCTTCCATGCTGCATTCAGATTTTTACAACTACTTCGGAGAATTCAAAGATAATCCCTGGTGCATGGCTAATACCATCTCACCATCGAGAAGGTTAGTTTGAGAACTGCAAAACTGGGAAGGAAAAAAAAAAAAAAAAAAAAAAAAAAAAAAAAAAAAAAAAAAAAAAAGGGTTGCAACAGAGAAACTTATAGATGCATTGGGGTGGAAAAAAGTGAGAATATATGCAACAACACACCTGAATGAAGCAATTTTTTGGACTTCAGAACACATGCATACCAATACTCACAAATTCAAAGGTTATAAAGACCCTTTGGCTCATCTAATGACCTCCTAGAAGACCTAGGCTGCATGTAAGTCACGTTGATTCCTGTTCAATATGCATATAATTTTTACCAAAAGACTGAGAAAAATTTTGTTCCCAAGACTCCCAACAATGAAAAAAAATCACAACATAAAGACAGCGAGCATCCACCCAGCAGCACCTCCGCCCACACAACCTTACGGGCAGAAAGCGTGCTGATATAATTTTATGGTGAGCATCAAGATTACTGTTCTTCCAAATTGCTACAAACTTAATCTTTGCCTTGCTCAGACTTTATTGTTTGAGTTGATCCAAATCTTACGGTCACTAGGGCTGAAGTTTATATCTACCTATCAGTGAAAAAGGTCGGTTAGGAGTTGCAAGTTAAACATAATCTTTGACCTTTCCCTTCTGCCCTGTTTGTTTGCAGCCAGATGAAGTGTGACAATAGCCATGTCTATGGAAACAACAAGTCAGTTCATCCTAAAAAACACAGAGATGACCTTCCTCCAACCTCTAGCAGAACATGCCATAACACACCAGCAGACCACTTTGCAATAAGAACTCACGCATACTGCCTCAAATGACTGGCAAAATTCATGAAATTCAATGAGCAATGCTCAAACAAAGAAGCATTTGGCATCATTCACATCACTGCTGAGATATCAAAAATTATTTATTAAAAATAAGTTATTTTAATGATTTAAAACAGTTTCTATAAGAATATAACAATTTAACAGATATTAACTTCAAAAAATTTATAAATGTTTTTCCTCCTAGCACACACATTCAAACCTACTTTCATATTAAAACAGTTGCAACTGTGAAAAAGTTGCTACCAAGTCTGCCCTGACAAGGAATTGAGAGGTGAAGTTTTGGAATTAAAACACAGAATACAAGAAAAAAGAGACGAGTTAGTACATAGCCTTGTCCATCACTTGCAAGTCAACGAAACAGCCAACGCAGTATTTTCCTTCTGAATACAGTATAACATTATACTCTGGGGAAAAGTCTTACTGTAAAATGAAATGCATTTTCCTAAATGCTGAGGGAGTGCCTCTTACAGCTTTTGACATCATGTATGTGTGGAGAATGGGCACAGGACTTTTCAAAGGACTATAAAATGTGCTAATTCTTAAATATTTGCACAGCAGCAGCACAAGGAACTCCTGTGTTCATCACACAATGGCTGTCCTGTGTCAGGAATATACACATCAACAAAAGAAGCCAGGACAAATGAAGAATTTGGTTATGTCTGCTCTGGAACTGAGCTTACAAAAAAAAAAAAAAAAATCCTCACAAAAAAAGAGAAAAAACCCACCACAGCAACAGCCACAAGCTCTAGGGTTTGATCTCCCTAAGCCCTCCCATCTTGTAATCTCCTATTTCTTATGATCAGTCCAAACCTAGCTGGCACTCAGCTGCCTATAAATCCTGCCCCACCTGTAGCAACAACCTCAGGACCTTCCAAACAAGGCTTTGGGCCACCTTGTCTGATCAACACTGACAATACAGTGTTCTCACAACATTAAATGGGAATCACGGAGGCTGTTGAATGAAATATATAGCACAGGGACTGACCATATGATGAACTAACCACGTCCTGGAACATGCTACAAAATGCATGCACACCAAAGGTCCCCCTGCTCAAGGAACAGCAACTGGACCATCCCATTACACCTGGATACTGCAGATAAGCCCAGCTTTATACCGCAGTCTAGGTTACAGCTCCACCTCCCAAATCCACAGTTGATGCAATTTTTACTTTGAGAGGGGTTTGCACCCATCTAATCCTTGAACAGGTCAATCACAACTGGGTACTGAAGAGATTTCAGGCAGGAGGAAGAAAAGCAGAGAATTGCCGTTAACTTTGCCCTCTTCTCTTTTTCAGTGGGGTTATTAGTAATTAATTTCTTTATAATAAAAAATTCGCAGAAGCCACCCCATTATGGGACACACTATTACAGAACTTTCATCTTTGAGACAAGACTGTCTTTACAGAATAACTAAAATCTCAAGGGGGTTCCTCAAACCAGCATCTGTGAATGCACAATGGCATCAATTAAGTGCCTCTTGAAACAACAGAAGTCATAGCGTGGGGAGCAAGAGAAACCGAAAATTGCTGAGGCAGCTTCATCAGGCCATGAATCCCAAATCCATGCAAGTTTTCTGTGATCAGAAACACAGCACTATGTATGCAGCATTTTATGCCTCGGGCAGTCACTTAAACAGAAAAACTGAACTCCTCTGCACACATTTGAAAGTTAAAGTCAAGCATACAGATAGCAAAGCTCCACCCATGTAGAGATAAAGCAACTAGGAATTCGGTAGTAATAACATAGTGCTAGGACAACGGACCAACACATACACAAATTATGACAACTGGTGTTAAATATGCCATCGAAGGACTTTGGTTCTGTTCTGGCAGGAAAACACACTTGGTAACCTAACAAGTTTTCTCATCTGTAGCTCCATGTTCTTAATTTGATTAAAGCTGTAAGAATGATGTACCTCTATATTTGTGCACGCTATTATCCTTGGATTAGATGCATTTTGGGAAAATGATTACAGAACACTATCATTTGACGCTATCGTCTGATTGCAAGATTAAAAATGGACAGTTCATTAAAAATTCATTTCTAAGCACATTAGCAGCTGAAAGGATTTGCAAAATGATACTATACCGAAGTAAATGCTTTTCAGAATTTGAAATACCCTTCCTTTCTGCAAATAAACAGATATTTCTGACTGCATATCTTAAAACCTTTCCTTCCAGTGCCTTGAGGGTGTGAACATAGGTTCACAGGGGCTATGAATACAGGTTCACACATCATTCCTTTCTTAAACCTTTACAAAGAGTTCATCAGGAAAACCACAACTACAGTCACAGAGGCTATTTGGTTTCAACAAAATTAACATATTATCTAGTTCTCAAAAATGTAACAGAAAACTTTTGACAGGAGACAATACAGTATGAGCTATCAGCTGCCCCAAACATTTTTACAGTATCAGAAGTACAACCTGCTGCCTTGGGCACTGTAACACACATGACATGACAATGCTGGTGTAGAAGTGCTTTTACAGCGTTTAATAAATTAAAAACTCACTACCAGTTAATCTTAAGGAGCCAGGTTGTTAAAGCAGTGTGATTCCATGCATGCAAATGGTTGTGAATGTCTTATCTATAGCCTGCGTACACAAATATAGTAGATGATTTATTTGTACTTCAGGTATTAATAATGAGAAGTGAGGTCTATCCAACTACATGCCCTCAAATTTTAAAAATCTTGAATACACAGAAGGTCTGGCCTGCACACAGGGTATGCTTTGTACAGAATATAAATTATTAGGAATTAAAACAGTTTTTCTTGTAACAAGAAATTATTAAGGAAACCCATCTTTCCTCCTCCTCCTCTTCTTCCAGTCATTCAGTCTGATGAGACCGTCATTGAGCAGGATGGCCAGGATAAATTAATATCTCTTCCTGAATTGCACCATAAAGCACGCATCAAAGAATGACTGCTTTAAGAGTAGAATTTGCTGTTACTGACTTTCTTCTCCTTTAATCTTAAGGGAAAAGAAAAGGGAAAAAGTCAAGTCTACTAGGAATTTCTCAGAGGAAAACAGTCTGCCAAGTTCAATTTACTTAGATACGAATGGCGAGTAATGTATCAACAACAAGCATTACTATTTTTTTTCCTCAATAAATGGGAGTAAACCAGTGATTCATGCAGCTGTTCAACACACACAAAAAAGGGTAAAAACATTTAAAGGAAAGTCTTCCTCCCATCCCGTCTTGAGATCTACTCAAGACTTCCTCCTGGTACATGAAGCCTCTGTCTGTCTCCCTCACACCCAGCCCGTAGGTGGCAGCAAAGGGGAAAGATCCTTCCCCTCAGCTTTGGACCGTGTACTGACACACTTAACCCACGATTCTATGTTGTTACAACTCAATACTGTTTTTATCTTTTGCAATTTGTGTATCTGGAAGCATCTTCTGTTCCCACATATATAATATGCTAATGACATTTCCAAGGACGTAACTTTGATAGTGTAGAAGGAGTGAGAACATTTATTTATTTGCCTGTATACACTTCCAGGCTATCCTCCTGGAAAGCACGAGAAGACAGGAATATAAACTCACAGGATTACATGTTTCACTGTGATCACTGAAACAGAGATTTCACTGAGCAGACATTTCACAGCATCTGCTGGCCTCTAGCGGCTTGCAGCCCAGCCTTGCTTCACTGCAGCCCTTCCTTGCTTCAGATATGCTCATTCTACCCTCACCACCCTTTAGATGCTTATTTTGATACATCTGAGATTTACTTACCATAAATCATGTCTAGATAGAGCTGCCTTGGAAAGGAGAATGATTATCAACCCACCTGCGGTTGCATGTGTCTTCATATATCTGTAGTTTGTGCTCATTCACATTGAATTCTTTTAATATAGCATCTCTGTTAGGATTCCTTAAATTCATATGGGTGTCATAAAGGAACAGCTGGTTATTAAGCTCCTCCTGGCGCTTCCGAAGTTGCCGACATGAGGAATAAAGCTCTTCTTCACTTTCCTTCAAAAGAATATTGGAAATCAACGTAACTTGTAAGACACATACCCAAAATGAAACAGAATCAACATAGTTCGGGGGATTCTTTTGTTTTCCTAAACACATTCCATTAGCTGTATAGAATTTTTTATAGAACTAGTTTTGTAAGATGTTTCTGCAATGTTTACGGAAACAAATTAGCTAAGAAAGCACTAAAAAAACCCCTCAGCCCCACAGTATGACCAGCCACGCCCTCTAATGAGGACATCAGGGACATTCCAGCACAAGTCATGAAATGTGTATCTCTGAACACTTCTATTGGAATATCATTCCCTAATAAAGCATGTCAGCCTGTTGAGGAAAGGACAGCAAATGGTGTCTCACGCTCGGTTATCAGATGATAACAGTTTTAAAAATACTTTTTAAAAAGTTTAGGTTTGACTCTTCCATCACGTTTCTGTATCACACGACATCCTGCCAATCCTGGTGCTTTCCTATTGAAATCTAGACTAAAGTTTGAAATACTGACTAGTAAATAGGACCCCTAATAGCAAGTACTCAGACAATCAAGAAAGAAGGGCAGATCCCATATTTCCATGTAGCTATGGCAATTCAATACTTGCAGAGGAACTGACTTAAGTATCTGAAGAATAATTTTCAGCAGTCTGAGTTTCTGTTGTTGTATGTGGCCCACAGTAGAAGGTCTCAAAACATTTCACAAGCATAAAATAATCATCATGATTCCCATTATGACTTCAAATTATTTTAATACTTCAAAACTTTGGATGCAAAAGCTGTCTCCTTTATAGAGTTACTAGTGGGGAATAGTACTGGCAGGACTGAAGTCTTAATTTTCACATCAGCAGCAGAACAAGATACTCATCCTACAAGAAATGACATGCAATCAATAAGTGTAATAAATTCAAACATTTTCAGAGGCGGCATACTAGTAAGAATGCCTCTTTCTACACTCAGTCCAGATCTAGGAAAATTGATAGGTTAGCAACATACCCGAGGGGTTTTGGTTAGGGCAACAAGATCCTTTCCTAAACCTTCTTTTTCCTCCCAAAACTCATTCCTATGCAGGTATGGGTTGAAGCAACTGAAACAGCCTCAGTGCTATGCTACTGATTAAGATTTTAAAAGAAATTTATTTTTTTTAAAGGCAAAGGAAACTTTGTATTCCCAAATCACAAAGGGAAAAGCAGATTGCCAATTACCGATTTGCCAGTGTGAACATCAAGATACATATGTACTACTATTTGTTCTTGTAAGTAAATGTATCCACAAAGCACACAAAATGTGTATCCACATTTAAGAATGTCCACTTCAGTCTTTATGTTAAAAACATATACATCATTGAGGCTGACTGTAATCAGAAAATGCTAGATACACACACACTTTCTGAAGCTGGTAAATCAATTTTCAAGCAAATAAGACATGCTTCTAAATGTAACAACAACCTCAGTATAGCACAATTTCTACAATATCAAGAAAACCGTGTAACTTCAACAGAAACTGCATAAGGCCCCACGTGATAGTTCACAAATGTGCATGCTTACATCTACAATATTCTTGCTTCTCTATTGCTAAGAAATTCCACAGCCACCTGTAATCCCCCTTTATAATTTTGTATTTCATCTCCGAGAGTATGCAGATGGGCTCTGTGTATAAACAGGCCTGTTATTAAATTATATCATTTTATGGAGGGTCATCATTTAAAAAAAAAAAAGGGCAGAAGAACAGATGGAGACAGCCTTGATCTTTTCTGATACTTCTTGAATGATCTGGCAAAAGTTCTAGAAGTTGATTAACTATGGCAAGTCTTGGTTTCTTGCAGACTGCCAAACAAAAGGGAAGTTCTCCTGCCACTGCATTACCACCCAGGGACATCAGACAGTGTAAAAATACAGAGCTATGCTGCACCTTCATTTGCCTTAACAAGCAGAAGGTGCTTCAAGAGTGCAAAATGTGCTACTGTCAAAGGACTTGGTGCTGACAGATTGGGAGACGTACTGCTGCTATGAACAACACTTTAAGAGCTATTCCTGCCCCAGACAAATAATGATCTGAATTTCTGAAGAGAAACCACGTCAGGAGGAATTTGCAATATGTCTACAAGTGATATCCATGCTCAACATATCAGGCAATGGAAAGTTGCTGCCAGTTTTCTCAAAGGCAGCAAGCCAAAAAATAGCAGTTTATCAGGCCTCCTCTGCCAGACTTGTGTCCATGAAATATGAACATTTAAAATAAAAATTTAAAATCTTCAAAGGACATAGGTCTCTTGTTTATACACACACACACACCCCCTCGGTGTCAGCTTCTAGCCCTCTCCTGCCCTCTTGACTCTTTGCTAGCCAACAGAAGGAACTGCTGGCATGGCTGCCAAACACTGTCATTACACACAGTCATTTTACATCATGTGTTATAACGTGGCTTTGTAAAAACCTTGACAAAGGATGTTTGAAAAAGACTGCCACTCTTTTGTGAAGAAGAATGTGACCGAATTCAGTAATTTCCATTTCAGTGTATGCAACTGCAGACTCAAATCCCTCCAGAGACATAATGACTTACAGTTAAGCCAAAATTGGTGTTTTAATCAGGAAAAATAATGTACACTGGCGTGAACTGCAGCGTAAGCTTGAATGGCTGTAAAAGACTACAAGTAAGAAGTTGGATTTTTTTTTTTTTTCTCTGAATCTGAAGGGTACTGGGAAGCACCCTGAAATACCCACTTCCCAGAAGCATCTTTAAACTTTCATCACGTGGCCTCTACACCAGTGTATTTAAATTACATAAAATATTACTGAGATAGAGAGAGTCTGAGAATAATCCTTCTTCTAATCAACATACACAGCAGCACCTTTGGAACACCAAGAAATTCTGTTCACAGATGAGCCACTTTAATGCCTGGCTTCATGAGCAAGGATGCATCATTATTTTTTCCCCTGTATGTTTAAAAATACTAGCACTTCAATTAGGTGGTTCAGAATGCTTAAAAGAGCAGGTTAGCACTTCTGTAAGAACCAGAATATGCCTTCCACCTGACAAGTTGTTTATTTTAATGAAATACTGGGATAAATTACTATCTTCTTTTCATAAAGTGATTTTTTTTTATGTAGGACAAAAAAAGATTATTCTACGAAGTCAAAGCTGAATTTAGCTAGCTTTGCATGGCATTAGCCAGTTAACAGGGGAAGACAATGACCATCCTATTACAGCAAAAACTAGTAGAGGTAATGAGGCTCTGTTAGTGCATTATTTCTTTTAACAACTATGTAATCTGTCCACCCAGAGAGAGAGTAACTCAATTTGCATTACTGGTCTTCCCAAGTACCTGCAGAAGAAATGCCTGACAATAGCACATCAGAGACAGACCAGAAAATTAAATCCTCATTTCCTGGTTTCCACAAAGAACTGGTAACATACGCTCTAAATGCACAAAAAACCCCCAGTGGTTCTCACCAGAACTTGTTGCATTTCACAGTGAACCAGAAGTGAGGCCAGCTCTATATCTTCACTATAGCCATTCTTGAGAGGAACTGATCTAAAACCTAGGGGCAGGGGAACACATACAAAGGACAATTAGAGTCAAGGCAAAGGTTTATCTGCAGTCACAAAAATGGTGCACATGGTCCTGAGGGCTAACAGATTCTTCATTGTTCAAATGCTCTGTGGCTGAGAGCAGGCTTCGCTATGACAATTACAGGGAGGCAAAAGGCAAGAATGGCAAAATTGAGAAACACATGATTTCACATGCTCTTGAAAATTAAAGCAGAAAACTTACTCTTCATATGTCCGCATCTAAGGTAATTAACAAAACAGATGCACTAACACCAAAACAGAAAAAAAACTTCCCAGATTTTACTCAGAGCACATAACCCTGTTGCTGAAATGAAGTAAGTGGTAAAGACATTGCAAATTATTCTACTAATTTCATAAAGTGACAATTAAAAAAAAAAAAAAAAAAAAAAAAAAAAAAGGAATTTCAAGAGGGTGAGAGGATTATTTTAAAATACTTATATGCGACACACCTAGTATCATAATAAACAATTCATTAAAAGAACTCAGCTCAAAAGAGCATTTGTCCTTTGGCACATTGTAGCTGCTACTGAGAGCAAAGTCACAATACAACAATGCTGAACAGCTCTTTCTGACTCGGGCTCGTATACACCCTGATCTTACCTGATTTGATTCCCTTGATGGGAAAAGTGGCATGTGCTAAGAAATTGGGATCGCTGAACATATCCTCCTCATAAACAACAAAGCGCAGAAAAGCGAGATTTGGATCATAAATTTCAAATTTCACTTGCTCTGGACAGGGTGCCCACACTGGATTAAGGCCATTGTCATCTGTAATGAAAAGGAAACATTTGCAGCATGAAGCAATAATTTTATTTCATTCACATATGTGTAGGTATCCCAGGACATTTTCTGGGGATACAAAGGCCCAAAAATCCTATTCACTGTCTGTCTCCTGTTGTAACCTTGCTTCAGAAGGTTTGTATTTGTTTATTTGTGGGGGGAGATAGGAGGTAACTTGGCAGGGATGGAAATCTATGAAGAAAGGCTATTATTTGTATTTAAACATACAAAACCTCATTGGACATGTATTTATAAAAAAAAAAAAGCTAATTCATTGGTCATATTCGTGAGCCTCATGCTCCGCATCAGAGTAAAAGCATGAAAAGCACTGGGAAGACTAATGTACAATGGCTCTGTTCTTACAGTCATGGAGTAAGTTGGTATGTGTGACACAGCCAGGAAGTTTGTTCTCTAAAGTCTTGGTCACTTCCCACAAAAAGTTAAAATCATAATCCTCTTCTCTGAATTACTGAAGAGCCACAATACACGTTCTGCTCCTGATTCTGTGTTTATTTTCCACTGGTATCAGTAGTTTGAATTAGAACCAAAGCCCCTCATCTACTAGAGGAAAACTGCTGCCTCCAGAAATATTAAACAGTGAAATATTAAATGGCTGAGATATTGCCCCATTTCAGGGCACTTAAATGAAGCTCGTGTACACGCACATATGTACACAAACGCATGTCCCTTATCCAGAACTCACCAGGAGTGAGCTTTGATCAAGCTTCTATTGCGTTGCAAGTTATACTACTTTACAGCCCTATATAGCCAAGCTCTCTCCAAGGGGATGCCAGTCTTAGAACCTGCATTTAAATAAACAGTCTGGATCTCACAGTAGTAACTCCCCACTTGAGCCAGACTTTTGGGAACTGACTAGCACTGTTGGAAGCACTTTCAAGACAGCAATTTTTTAAAATATGCAAATACACAAAAACTTATGCATAGGCAAAACCATAAAAAAAGAATTGCAATTTTTTTCCCCAAACTGCAACAGTCCTTTTTTTTCTAAATTTGATTTACATTGAAGTTTCTTAAATTAACTGGCCCTGAGGCAAGCAAGAGGATAATATTGTATGAATCATCAGTCCACAGCAACACTTAATTTATTTCTCCCTGTACAGATTGCTGGCCAATTACAGACAACATAAATTAATGGTCATCCTCTACTCACTTTAAGCGCACTGGAAGTATAACCATAACCCTACAACACAGAAAACCAGAGATACTCACTCACAACTGTTGTCTTGAATTTGTTGTTATCATATTCGGCCCCACAAATTTCTACCTCTACAAAGGGACAAGCGATGCTTCTACCAGGTTTAGGGAGATGACGAGCACCTAAAACCTGCAAAAGCAACTGTAAATTATAAACTCCTCCAAAGGAAACTTGGCACCACTATTTCTGTACAGAAGGTAGCCTACAGAACTAGAGGGAGAAAAAAAAAAAATCCAGAAGAACATGCAAAAATACACACTCCCTCTCTTGAATATGTTTGCACGTATTACATATACTATCTGTGCCACCAATAACATCTTCCATTGTTTGGGTAATCCAACAGTTTTCATTGTAAGATGCTGTAGCTAGACATTGTTTTCATTGTAAGATGCTGTAGCTAGACATTAGGAAAAACTTCTTCACCAAAAGGGTTGTCAGGCTCTGGAATGGGCTGCCCAGGGAGGTGGTAGAGTCCTCATCCCTGGAGGTATTTAAAAGAAGGATAGATGAGGTGCTTAGGGACATGGTTTAGTGGTGGAATGGCAGGGATAGGCTAAAGGTTGGACTCGATGATCTCAAAGGTCTTTTCCAACCAAAATGATTCTATGATTCTAGCTGACTTTCATTACACACAGTATGCAGTTCCAGACCAGGCCTGTAATGTAAGTTTTGTTACCTTTCCTCAGTATTTATTACATATCTATTTTAAAGACATTCTTGCTTTATATTCACAGCCCCTGTTTACCTCCTCCCTAAACTGTAGCAAAAAGCAGTTAATGTGTTTGTTCTTTCTCAGAAAACATATTTTTAAAGGACATCTCTTACTGTACAGCAACTGAGAACAGAAACAAGTTCGATTCCCGTTTGGCACCAGAAGACAACATGGCATAATTTTCAAATAATAAACCTGTCTCTCCATGAAAAATGAGAATGACACTCTGATTAAGTCACAGTGTATTAAATATGATGGGGGGGAGGGGCACCAGCTTATTATTTTTCTGCTTAGCTTCTATATTTCATTATAAATACCTTTCTTCCACACCGGAAATCTCTGAACTAGTTAGTCTGCTGCTAACCAATCTACAATAGTACTCTTCTATTGAGAAGTCATTAGATTGGAAATGCAAGGTAGTTCATTTGGAATTTTTATTAGCAATTATATAAAATTATCCCAGGATTGTGTTTTCAGTCCTATAGCATGTGCTTCATTAGCATGATAAAGATATATATTTTTTTCAGGAACCATTGGAATTAGTTTTATTCTCAAACACACTGACATTTAAAAACAGTATTTTGACAATCTGTCAGATCTTGCTCTGAAACATAATAGCTTTATTTTTAGTTTTATAGATATTTATGACTTGTAAAAAACATAATTTACAAAAGAGATTTACCCTCACTGTCATAATCATCTGCAATTTCCTCTTCGAGTCATTTGGCATTGGGTCATATTCTTCATTTCGCATGCTTTCTGGCTGCAGAACATAGCCAGTGCGTCCATTAAGTGAAAACAAGGCATGGTTCAATTGCATGTATTTATCTAGGGAGAGAGTTAAACAGTCATAACAGAAGATCCTCATCTGAATAAAGCTAAGGAAGTACCAGACTAATGGCTCCTCTCCGTAACTCTTTCTAGTCACCACTTTATCAGAAAGAGCTGGAAAGGTAAATTGGAAGACTCTGTTTCCTTCAGTAACTGAACCCGACAGGCCACTTCTCACCAATTTTAATCCCGATAAACCCGTCTCCATTCACAATAAGTTTCCTACCAATATGTCATAAGCTAGCTGGGCTCTGTACCAGAAAGTGGAGTAAAACTGTTCATCCACTTGAAACTTACTGTAAATATCTCTGCTTGCTTATCACAAAGAGATCAAGGTGAAAGACACCTTTTAGAGTTTGGGGCTAGTTAGGCTTTTGGAGACCAACTCTATCAGGTGATACGCACATTCAAAACCAAACTTTAGTTCATGCACATCCTTTCTTGCTGGGAAGTACAAACAAACAGGACAGCCACAGTGACTAGAATGGCAGGGTGGGCAGAAAGGGCCCATTTATGGTGAAATGGACGGTGGTTCCGATCCTTTTTTAAAGAGAATATTACCTGGAGTTTGGAAGTTAAGAGCCACCATCTGGGAGCCACAAAGCCAGAGGCGAAATGGGTCATAGTTGGATGAGTCAACCCTCTGCCCTTTAGGATAGACACGTGTCAGTCCCTTCAGGTTGTATTTCAACAACTCAACTGGCTTTTGCTTAACAATGTTCTCTGCCTTGGTTTCCACAAAAGAACGGATTTCTTTGAAATCAGGATTTTCTACACAGGGTAGGGAGAAAAAAGTGTGGTTACTACAGGAAGATAGAAGTCAACATTTATACTGCATTTTTACTAACACTTTGGTTTACTTTGATTTGTTTTGTTCATTAATGCAATAATTGGCACAGTTTTCATGCAGACATGGCAAATTGGTTGAGCATCAAGTCTGAAAGTTAAAATTGCCTGCTTGCCACATGCTTTGCAGCAGGGCACGTAAGAGTCTACAGTCATGTTCTCATCTCATCATTGCTAATAACAACTTCTGACCACTATAACACATATTTAAATGAGACATCTTTTCCTGGGTTTAAATGGGGAAAGGGTGAGCCAGGGTTAGCCAATGCCTCAAACAATGACTGCAATTATAATGTCTTAACCACACTGACAGCTTATTAAAAATGTTTGCAAAGAAACTTAAAGAAAAAGGGCACATTTGCTGGCTTCTCCAGCAGCAATGACAAAACACTGGAGTAAGTAGTACATATTTCAGTGTCAGATTCCACACCTGCGCTTACACAGGCCCCAGTTCTCCTATTATAAAACCACACACCATTCCAATAGCTTAAATAAATGGCAAACAGGTTCTTACAGTAAAATTAAATAACGCACAGCAAATACATTTTGAAGGTTCTTACAAACAAATCACAAGTGTTCAGCCAGAATTTTTCATCTCAAAAAACAGAACTGACACATAACTGGTGAGCTTCCTCATGAAAGACACCTATGAGAGGGTGTCTCTAGCTAACTAGTTAGAAATTTGTGAGGTTTTTTGTGACAGTTGAATAGCATCAAATTCCCTAGCATACAATTTCAAAGTGCCACTAAAAACTGCACGGGTGAGGCAGAACTTTGTTTTCCAGTACAGGAAGGATAGATTTTTATCTTCAGTTCTAAAATTTCAACTAACATCTGTAAAGATAGTAGAAAGGGTAAAATTCAGATGTAATACTAAAGGAAATACCTAAATTGTCCTTGGTTTTGCTTGTTGGCTTGCAGTAGATTACCAGATCAGATAATTCAATAGCAATCAATTGATTCTTTTCCCAGTATTTCCTCCTGTTCTCCTGTAAAACATAACAAAGTTTTAGATTACAAATACACTGAGTGTTATGGTACAGTAACTGCAGGGTATACTCTAATGAAATTACAAAGTTGATGCATTCTTTGTTGCCCAGATTCCTATCTGAGAACAGGCTAACCAAGTGGGTTTGGGTTTTAGTTGGGGGTGCTTTTTTTTGGTGAGTTTGTTGCATTTGTTTAGGTTTTTTTAAGCAAGTGTTCCAGTGCCTCCCTGATCAATCCTGCTCAGAATCCTGGGGACATTTTTTTTTTTCTTTTAACATGGCTCTACTCAATTTTAGTTACATTCTCAACTCTATACCTCATATAAATACAAATGCATACAGAAAAAAATGCAAAGTGTCTCTCCATTTAAGTCTTGCTAGTAACTCCCAAACAGCTAAATTCAAACCATATGAGCATCATTCCTGTAGCTTTCTATTTGCACACAAAACCAATAATGTTATGTATGGAAAATCACATGCAATCTTGTTGTCATCATCAGTAATTAATCCACTATCTACTTCCATGTTTGCAAGCACCTGCTCTGTGAAAGCTGAGCAACGGTCCCTGCAACCAGAGACTGGGAACTACTGAAATCAGCAAGACTTGTCCAGAGTGGAGACATTTGGGCTGGAGGCTTTTCAGACTTAAGAAGCAATTACAGGATAAAATATGTTAGAAGAGTCCCATACTGAACAGTGATTAGCCTTGGTACAAGAGGTTATGAAGAAGCAGCAGCAATTAGGGAGTCTTCCAAAAGAATTCCCTCAACAAGACAACCTGAAGAGGAATGAAAATTAGAGCCAGGGAGCCATGGGTTTCCAGAATGTTTCACTGAACCAGAGATTATATATGAAAATCTAAGAAAAGCAAAGAGTAATACGGCATTTAGACTTGGAAATAACCTTGGGAAAAACGGTACAAACCTCACCATATTTAGTGATCCACCACACTTTCCAAGACATTGCACAACAGTAATCAGAGCTCCAAATAACAAAAGACCACTTCTAGATACCATGAGCTCATCTTTAGACATAACCCTCTACTGATAACCAAGCAGGAGAGCTAGCAATAAACAACCATTCCTAGGGGCGTGACAAGTGTCAGGATTAAACAGGAATGACAAGATACGTGAAGCTTAGTTTTACTTTCTGTGTATAATGGACACAGCCCCATAATCAACTTATAAAACACCTGTACCATATTGTAGCATAGTGTTGACTCACTAGGCTTTTTCCTTCCCCAAAATTCAGCCTGTTAACTGTACTGGCAAAAAAGGCCTTTCATCATCTTTTTCCCCTCCCCATGCAGCAGTCTATCATGTGAACTTTCTAGAGGCCACACTGTGAGAAAAGCCTCCTGATTGACAGAAATGAGTTTTAAAGCATCTTTGAACACAGACTGTTTAATACTTCTCTAACTACACAGAGGGAAAAAAAGCTGCCAAGCTCCTGAAGAGCCATTGATGTACCATAAAAAACATTCCATTTAGAGACACTTCTTCTAGGTCATGTTTCTCTTCTTCTCATTTTTATTTCTAAATGAAAGCCTGGCATAAGAACCGTATCTCTCCTCCCCCAACAATAGGTCAACAGCTCCTGTTGCTTCTTCCCTTGCTGAATTTGCAGTCCTCTGCTTGAGACACCAACTTGCCTGCTATAAATAGGATTATGATGACCCTCAGAGCATTACCACTCCAGATGCGAGATAAACAGCATGAGCCAACATGATACTGAAACACATTTTCCATCATTCATAGCACCCACTTAACAATAAAAAGTGAATAAAAGCAACAAAGGAAAGAGTATACTTAAGCATGGGCATTTTAAGGGCTTTTTGGTCACGTTAAAGATTTCTTAAATGCTGGAAAAGATGACAGGGAGCTAAATTAATACATCGGAACAGGAAAAGCATGTCCTGAAGAATGTCTTTAAGTGGCAGTGCTTGTAGAGGGACATAGAAGCTAAACTTAGACAGAATCCTTTAATCTTTAGGCAAGGATCTGGAAATACTACTATTGAAGATCTGATAAATCCAGACTGTGCTACAAACAAATAAAGTATTAACCAAGCAATCCCCTATCAGTGCCACTGTATTCACTGGAAAGTGGAGTTAGTAAATAGGATTAAGAAAAGTTTAGGCAAAGACAGCTCAGATTTCACATAGTGGATCATTTCATTTTACTAGTGGATTCACAACCCTGAACGGAACAGCCTGATATCTGAGTTTCTTCTGTGTAACACTAGGATTGAACCAGTGTAACCAGATGTCAGATGGCAATGGTACCTACTCCGTACCACTAAGCTCACTCCTCCACTGAGATGTAGGGTCAAACACAGACAGCACTCTGCTGAAAAACTCCTGTTAACATAAATTTATGTAAAATGCTAATTTACGTAGCATTCCCAAAAGAGTTTAGGGAACAAGATTCACAGCGTCAATAAAATGAATGAAGAGCAATATGAAAGTGAGTGAAGAACCAGCTGTTAGCAAGGTCTAGCAGTGTATGGCAGCTAAAGACAAATCCTATTGTAAATTTATAGCAGTACATTATAAAAAACAACAGATAGATTTTTATCAATACCTCTTCTGTAGTTTTCCAAGTGATTTCACGGATACTTTGGTACCATTCAAAGAGTTCTTCTACTTTATCAGTTGCAAACTCCACACACGGATCTTCTGGATTCTTAGGTTCCAAAATGAAGACAAAAGGCTTTTTGTGTTTCCCTTGTGGCATTTTCACTGTTAGGCAACACAGCAGGGAAGAAATTTATAATAAAATCCAACAGTTCTTCTAAGCTGTCATTGCTGATTTTATTGCAACAGTTAGTATCATAGAGTTTCATCATATTAATTGTATTAGCTATATTAATACAAGCAGGTGTTATTGGTTAGTTGTTTGGTTTGGTTGTTTGTTTTTTTTTTAAGTCTTTCCTGCCAAACATAAAAAAGTCTACTCAACACAGAAAGCTCAGGAGTCCACGTGTAAACATGAGAAAATACATACCAACATTGTACGTATTGAGTACCAGTATGCCACGACACAGAGAGCCTAATGGATTGTCCTCGATAATCTGAAAAACAGAAGTTAAATCTGTCCCTAAATCTTCTCTTGAGTGAATATGCACAGGACATTAACAAATAATAAATACGCACCATTAAATCTAACCTCAGTTTCACTGAAAGCATGCCCACTAAAATGTTTAAAAGCCTGCTTCCATATCAAGAATTTCTCATTTTGAGAAAAACGTGAGAATCTCTATAGTGAGAGTAGTCAAAATGAGGGGTGCAGCTTCTGTCCTGACACAACTGCTCGTTCTTCAAGTCTGCTTAAAGCTGCAATGACTGGGGCGGGAAATCTAATACATGTGTTTTCCTCCAAAGACTCCTGGCAAATCATTGGAAATGCTTCAGAACAAAAAAGAATTCAACATTTTATTTTTAAAACTCGAAAGTGTCAAAACTGCTTATTATGGAGTTTTGTTTTCTTCCACTGAAGAAATCTTTGTCCAAGACTCTGGACTAGATTTTTAGACACTTCTGAAAAACTTAATAATGGTTAGTAAGATGTGTTTGGACACAATAGTTTTCTTATTTGTAAATATTAAGGCAGTAATTATACAGGCAAACTAGTTAAAAGTTTCAGGCACATTATTGTTTAGCCACACTATCTGAAAAATTGAAACTGGTATGATTTTCTTTAGCAGGAAATCATTATAATGATTTCATAAAACCCCACCAAATCAGCTATCTCCTTACGTAGTTTTCTATGAGGGGTGTCCTGACAAAAACATTCAGCAGCAGAGAACAGCAAAGAATGCATTCATGTCTCTGTTCTGTGTAATCTCAAACACAGCATGGAGAGTCATAATTTTGTAAACCAGACTTCCACTTCCAGTAGGTAGCATCTTCTAGGGAAATGTAGCAGACAAACCTTAACCCTCACCTGGCTTTCAAGCTCAGCAGAGTTATCAGATGACAGATCTTCAACATAATTAGATGGAAAATAGTGTTGGACTTTTTCTCCGTAATCCCCCTTCCACCTGAATTTAAAAGGAAAAGTATATACAGAGAAAAAAAATAGTTAAGAGTTTCAATAGGCCATTAATGAAGCCATAATCCTCAAGAAATTGGTCATTAATACCCCATACTAGCTTGTCTAGCTGACTATCACCAAAATATAAGCGATGACGTAGCTAAAAGCTCTAAAAAAGTGATCATTAACTGTAGTAACAGATTATTTCAGAGGGATTACAGTTACTGTAAACTGCAATTAATGACTTAAGAGGCTTTTTCCCTCTCCAGTACTAAAAATACTATTATGTGGTTGATTACCCTGCAGAAACTACAGGGAAACATTAGATTCCCAAGCTTTCCAAGCAATTTACAAGCCAGCTAAGAAAGAAAACCTCTTATGAAAGGAGACTGTACAGATAACTGAAAAAGGTGAGTTTGATTCCTGAGAAGTACTTAGCAGAGCAAGGAAAGAAACAGAGCAATGACAACAACAGTAATAGATGCGTGACCTCCCAGAATACACAAGTGTTAGGAAAGGATAAATGTGGTAAAGGAAACATACTGGATACAGTGGGCTATAGAGGTTCTGCAGGCCGAGGTTATTACTGTAGGATAGCAAAGTGGAAAAGACGTGAACAGAGGGGGTTCAGGTTTGTTTTTCTTTTTAAATACGCTGGCATTAAGATCTATAAGGCCACAGTTAATAAGCAGCAATCAGACAATAAGCAAAGTTTTTAAAAACTACTACCCAAAGCTCAATTTTTTCCTCCATCTAGTAAGTGACCAGACATTCTCCTATGAGGAATCTTTGTCCTTACCAGCCTCCAGTTTCCTTTGTGACATTATGAATTAAAGCTCCTCGAGAGAAGCTCAATTCATCACTTCTTTTGGCTCTGTAGTCATACAACGCTTTCACTGTTCTCTGAGGCTGTAAGAGAAACAGAGTAAAAGGGTCATCTAGGGGGATGGGTCATAAAATAATCAATAATGCAATCTAAAAAAAAAAAAAAAAAAAAGGGGGGGGGTTTGGATTCCTTTTTTTTTTTTTTTTTTTTTTTTTTGTTTTGTTATGAAGCTTAGAAAACGTAATACTAAAGTTCCAGAGTGACATCTATTGGTGGAAGCAAGTGCTGCTACTCAACTGCTACTCTTTAAGTATCAGCTTGGAAAAAAGAAAAAGAAAAAAAGAATCTTTTTTTTATTGGTGCTGCAACATAATTACTGCAGGGGGAAGAGAAAAAAAAAGAAAAAAAGAAAATCACACAGTGAAATATCAATCCTCTGTCTTCATCACATGTATTCATACACAGTTGGGAGTTTGTAGGCTTAGATGCATACAAAGCCTCCACTTCAAAACCACACCAGCTATCCTGCTGGTCACATTTCCTTTCGGAAGACATCCAGTTTTAGCAGGACAAGCAATTTCTTTATCTTGAATTTACCACTACCCAAATTCTCCAGCAGTAATGCAAATTCATTGGCCAAAAAGCCTAAAAAGAATTACAGCCACAAAATTTACAAGCAGGTGAGCTGTTACAAGAATTTACAATTAGGTGGGTCCTAACAAGCATTAGAGATAAGTAGATGTTTGCTCTGCCACTTGGTTTTATAACATTATATATATATCTTAAAAGAAGACAAACTTTAATAACTCAGTAACAAACCAAAGACACCATTTTTATACAGAAAGCACATAAATAAACTCTGCACCTATTTGTGCATGCAGGCCATGATTGCTAATGGAACTGCGATAATTTTGTGCGCAGACAAATAATAGTGCTCATAAACACACAGGCATGCACAGACACGCACCCCTGGGGTTTACATGTTGTACTTTCTTTCCATGAAGATTCGCCTTTCTCAGACTTAATCTTCTCATAGGTTATTTAATTTGGGGGCATACCTGCATAAGTTTTCATGCCAAATCAAATAGTCTCCGCAGACTCAATAGGAAAAAGTGCCCAAATTCCCAGTGTGGGTGAATCAATATAGGATTTGCAAGCAAGAAATTGTGTGAGTGCAAATTTTAAAGAGATGCTAGAAAAAAGTCACACCCTTCAAATTTCTGCTGTCCAGTCCCCCATACATCAAGCAGCCTAATGCTTTCAGTTTTCCTTTTCATTACTGCTAACAGGAAATCAACAAACAAGTCTCATAATTTTCAGAAGTCTACAGTAAGTGTGAATATCCCTCTTTAAGCATACCACTGTAGGGGTGATTTCACTGGGTTCCACATACATCTTGACATCATAGAGGGAGTTAATATCTTTTTCCTAAAAAGAGAAAGATGGAAAAAAAAAATAATGAAGTTACAGGAATAAAAAAATTACAAAAGTACTTAATGTCAATGGAACATTCATTGCTGAAATTACCTTTTTGACAATACGCAGGCAAGCAGAAGAGGAGGGAAGCCAGACACCTATGTTATGCTCATTTCTATAGTTAAACATAGCTGAACATGAGTTTGTTATTTAATCTGTCCATGCCCCAGTTTAACAAACAGTAAAACACAATGAAACAGCAATACCTCACAAAAGTACCTCTTAAATCAGTCAAATAGCTTTGAGATTGTGAGTACCCTTTTATGTGCAACCAGGGAAGACAATACCTACACTCATTACTTCTGTGTTACAGTACTTTAGGTCCAGTATTGGTTTCACTATTAGATAAAAATTCTAAAACAATATACACAGTCATATTTTTCATTTTCTTCTCTCCTTGTTCCCATTTGGACCCAGTCCTAGAATACAGAACGTTGGCTATAGGCAATATTATAAAAAATCCTGAGGTCTAAAATCTTTTCAGTCCCTTTTAGTCTCCCCAGAAGAAACAAAAAACCCAGACTTTGATTTCCTCAAACATGCCAGATATATTTTTCCTACAGCCTCTAACAGACATATATTTGAAAACAGAAGACAGCTTCTCAGGGTTTTCAAAAGCCAGTTACCTCGGCAAAGCTCCCCTCATCATGAAACACATCCATCCAGAAAGTAGGCCTCTATCCTAAGCTAATTATCCAGGCTCCTAGTTTAGTCAATGGAGAGAGACAAGTATCTATTGGGGAGATTTCCTCATGCTTATCTCAAAGAGTGAGCCTTCAGAGGTACCTCTCACTTTTTACCACAGAACGCAGTTGGACACCATCCCTGGGGTGGCTCCAGTGCAGTGAAGCGAATGCCACTGCCCATCTAGAGTGAGAGGTGCAGCAAAGTATTTAATTTTTTCTGAAATGCTTAGCAATTGGCATCTGCGTGATCGTTTCAAGATCTCTGTCCACTCCAGCAATAGAAGATAGCACCAACTGCAAGCGAGACTATTATCAAAACCTCATTTAGCAGAGCAATGATCCCCCACTTCACAGTGCAGCTTTTCTAATCAAATCACGAGGAAGGCAAGAGTTGACAGGTAATCAAAGATGGAGTTCTTTCCTTTGCATATCTCAAAACCTTTGTGAGAGCAGTCAGTATAACCATCTCAATTTCACAGATAAGAAAACTACCTGCTTAACCTCTCCCAACGGTCATCTACCACAGACAGAATCAAACCCAGCACCCTCAGGTCCAGATCTGGGACTGTGTCCGCTACAGCAACTGGCACAAAGGCCATCACTTACCATGCTGTAGCGCTCCAGCAGCTCCTCAGTCACCGGGTAGCGCAATTTCATTTTCCTGTACAGCGGATGCTTCTCATAGTACGTTACCAGCTCCACTAAACTCTCAAAATAGGCTGAGGTTCCAAGCACAAAATGGCGACCTTCTTGCTGAATTCGGAAGTGCTTCACCTTCCCCTCCGCTCTGTGAAAAAAGCACAGGTGCTGTAAAAGGTATTGGAACTTGCAGTGAGAGCACCAGCGCCGTAAACCGGACCCAAACTGCTTTGTGAATCTTAATCACATGCAATAATTTCTCCCTTTTCCAAAGCCTCTTTTACTCAAATTGAATTTCAGTTGCCTGATTAAATTCACAAAAGGACATTCTCACTTCTCTACAATGTACAGGGGTTTGGGTCAAATCCATGGTTTTGCTTACATGAAGTTTCCCAATTTTTTTCCCCTACAAATAGGTATTCTGTCATCTTCAGACTAACACAAATGTCTCTCATCAGACAGAGAGTCCCTCTGGAATCCACTGCTGCTGATCCAAAGCTGTCCCTAAGCGACAAACTCCCCTCAAAATGAGTAGCTGTCTCTTCCCTATAATCATTTTGATAACTATAGGAATCACTTTTGAAAGAAAAAAAAAAATCTCTTCTGCTTGAACATGGTAATTTGTGCTTGCATTGATAACAGTAAAACCATCCACTGACAACCATCCCACCCACAGAAGACCCCTGCATCCTTTTCAAGCTGCACTGAAGTTTTGGTACTTCTTGTTTTCCCCACTGTGAAATGGTTTTATTGAGCTGCTGCAGCTCAAGTTACTTCAATATCCACCTTGGTAACAGCAGAAAGCTTCAAACCAAAGTACACAGGGGACTGGGGAATTCTGGACATCACCAATACACAGTAAGGCATGCAAATAAGAGGAAAGCAAGTGTTTGTTTTTCCAAAGCAATTTTATATGTTGCAGAAATAAATATTTTCAGAGTTATGCAATCTGATTTGAAGGCACAATGGAGAACACCACAATTCTATAAATTTTGTTAATGCTGTTGCAAGAACCACAGTTTCAAAAATATTTTCCCTGGCAAGAAATGCCAACAATTCCATTTTGACATTTCATTTCAGTCAGTTATATGACAGAGCAGGATTTTCAGGGTATAAGGCCCTAGAATCATTTGTAACCAGCACCAAAGAGAACTTTAAAATAATACCCTCTAGCAAGGATTGTCAAAGCAATGAAGAAAGGCCATGCACAGTTCCGTATGGAAAGAAGGGGACAGTCAGTGCCCAAATATTCTTTGTAAAAGCATAAAGGTTTATTCCAGTCACAAATTAACTCTGGTACGCATTCTCATACATGGACCTGGTGCACAAATCAACCATGTTAATTACTCAAAGTTTGAAAGCAAAAATTTAATGACTCTAAAAAGACCATAGTATTTTTTAAATTAAAAAAAAAAAAAACCACCCACCAAAACAAAACAGAACATTGTTGGGCTACTCGGTAATGTAGTTATATCTGTCTTTTCTTACCTGAAAGTCATGGCAAACGAATCAGGCTCATCTCTCTTTCTAATCAGAAAGGCTCCATCTCGAGGAATTCGCATCAGCATGTCTTCTGCCTCTCCCCGACTCAAGTTGCTATAGTACCAACTACAACAGTTAAAAATCAAAACGGACAAAAGATTACAATGCTTGTCAAATGTCATTTAGTAAGAATAACAGGCAGCATTATTAACAACAGTTTAAAACATTACAAGAAAAACTATGCATTAGATTTTCCCCATCTTGCCACCTATGACAGCAGCTTATTACAAAACATTGTAGCACAGCAGCTTATTTTGGATGAAAGCATCAAGAATATATCAGAACACCTTGTCTGTCTGAAATCATAAAACAAAAATCTGCATTTCTTCCTGAAACAAAGGCACTGGATCCTGCTTTTAGTCTGCCATTCATTTTTCAGCATTTTATTCAGTTCTGACATAGTAGATTTAAGGAAAAGCCCAAACACAGACAAAAGGAGAACAGCAGGCATTTGAATTCTTTTACTCAGAGCTTGATTTTATCTTTTCACATCTTTATCTATGATCTAATGTGCCTTCAGTGAAGCTGCGGCCACTTATACTGGCAGTATAACTCCACCTTGAACAGAAAGGCAGGAAAGCCTAATCCTTAAACTCTACCCTGCCTTCTCTACCGGCTTCCAAAGTTATCTATGGGTGGTCAGTGACACCCAGATCCCAGGCGGAGGGCAAAAAAAGAAGTTTAAAGTCCCAGATGAATATTTCATGTGCAAAGGAGATTTACTTTTTCTCACCGCAAAGAAAACAGAACAAAGGGCAGTGATTACAGTGTTCTGCCAGCAAACGTGAGCAAGTTCTGCCCAGGATCTACATCAGGCAAACACCAACTGGAAATGAACACCAAGCTATACTGGTTCCTATCAGCATGGGGCGAAGTCAGCCCAACCAGCTCTGACAGGGGTGAGGTGGAGGGCAGGATCAGGAAAACGTAACTGTTTGGGCTCACTGCCCCAGTCACAGTTTCCAGATGGCACAGACCATGACCACTTAGCTGCCAGACCGCAGCCAACTACTAAATATCTAATCCAACCCACTGGGTGTTGTAAAACACTGAGCAGAGAAAGAAGGAACTGGCACACTTCCACAGCATTACGGTTCTCACTGATTTTCCTAGTTGCTGCTAGTAAATTGCTTTCTCAGCGACTGCTCTCTGTTGTAGCAGGTTCTTACACAGTCAGTATTCTTAATCAGCATCTTTCAAGGAAGCCTATTCCTATGACACCCAATGTGCTTGAATTCAGGGAATTTTCTATGCAAAAATCCAAGACCATCTAAAACAACGCAAAGGATGCTGACGTAACAACCCCAGTGCTTGCCTTCTGCTGTACATACTCTTTAGTCTCATGAGGGTTCGGGTTAGGCACAGCATCTGTCAGACGCAGCTCAAATTCAGCACATCGCAAGTGGGCCTCCTTGTAGTGTTGAATGAGATCATAGATGCTATCAAAAGTGAGGTTGTCTGTCAGGTAGTATTTCACAGTGTCCCCATCACTTGAAGAACGGATCCGGCAGTGCTGGACTCTACCTGACCTCCTGAAGAAATGAAAAGGTGCATAAGGAAAATAAAGGTTTTATAACAAGTTTTCTTCTTTCAAAGTGTTTCCTCACCCATTCCTGGTCAACTACTTGGTGAGCTTGCAACGAGGCAAGAAATCTGTATCATCTCATAAAATGACCAAAGTAAGAACAGCAACAAAAATCCCGACAAGTAAGATTACAGGACTGAAAACAGTAATTTTCATCCCACAATGGTTTGAAATCTGGTATACACTTACTCCTTGCAAAATTTGCTCTGATAGCTCTCTGGGTCAGAAATCCATCTGATACGCTATTCCTCATAATGTCCCAATCAGAAGAAAAAAAAAATCCCAGACTACCAAAAAAACCAAACACACCCCCCCCCAATTCTTTATTCATTTTCCCTCTAAGGATCCTTTCATTGAAAAGATCAATCTCTGCTAATAAAGGTATCAATCTCTGTTAATAAAGGTACACTCATGAGACTGCCTTTTCAGTGTAGAAACGAGTAATTTATCCCTAAATTAAAAGATCAAATTTTGGCCCACTCATTGAGGAAATAACAAATCCTCTATCCTGCCAGAGCACTAGAGAAGTTGGGGAGGCGGGGGAGTGAGGGGTGGAGGGGGGAATCAAACCAGTCAGTCCTCTCTTGACAACTGTAACACTTCAAATAAAGCCTACTCTGCCAAAACACACTATGCTACACCGAAGTTTAATTTACAAAGTAGTCTTTCACAATCCCATCAACAACATTCTAGTAATTATAGCAACTCCTTATTCCTGTTTTCTCCCAGCTATAAATGCATGCTTGAAAAATACACACATTTTGTGCAATGCCAAAAAACAAACAAAATCCACATCAAATTTTTATGACAATCACCATACCAGAATGACAAGGTGCAATCATTAGGGAAAGCCTCACTTTCCCTAACTAGGAATGTCCCATCCTTGCCACCCATTTCAGCACAATATTCCTGGAGCAGTTTCTCAGCAGTTGTTCTCCCCTCTTTCATTTTCCCATGGAACCATTTCTCTTTTAGGTGCAACTCAGTACGTTTCACCTCCTAGACCAAAAAATAAGAATTTTCATAGTGCATTTCTAATTTTATGATTTTGAAACACAGCATTTGATATAACAATCTACTATTTCAGGATTCCAGCTCTTCCTAGCCCTGAACCATCCTTCCACAAACAAGCCAATCACCTTTATAGTCACCCTTGACTCTACTCCCTGTTCCTTTGGAGCAGTGATCAACTTCAGTCTTATTCAAATAGGTAATCAATGGGAAGTCAAAGAATGCAGCAATGCAAACACCAATTTAATCCTTACTGACCTTCATGTTTCTGCTTTACCATACACAACAGCCAAGTAATACACACTCACCTATGACAAACACTTTGCAAATGTGAAATGAAAAAACATGCACTGTGTTAGAGGTGTGTTTTATTACTAACACAACAAAGCTTAGTTCATCACACTGTCTAGTTTCGGAATAGCAATAATACTTAGCCAAAGGCATATAAACACTTTGATTGTCAGCGCACGCATCAGCATTAGCATTTAAGTACCAAATTGTATTTCATTGTCTTTGTATTCCTCCATGCAATTAGCCAAGGGAAGGAGTTATTTTATTAAAAATACAGTTAACTGGAGTACCTTGGCAAAGATCCTTTTTAAAATTTTTTATCTCCAGTTACACTTGTTGTCTGACACAGATCCTCTACTGTTTCAAAATCAGCATAAAAAATATGCATCTGTAGATATAGAAATAACCTGAGAGAATAAAAAGAATGTGCTTAAACAACAAACAAAACATAGCCGTCACCTTTGATGAATCTTCATCAGCATTCTGTTCTATATCATCACTGAAGGAAAGCTTTTCATCAGCAATAGCACAGTAGTGCCGAGTCCATTTCTAAAAGTTGAGAGATATTAAAACCATTACAAGTCAGAGGGAAACTCACTAACCACAATTTCAAAACAAGTTGTGACAATAAACAAAATATCTTCTCCCCCTCATTCACATCTGTTCAACTGACAATCTTATACAAATATTGAGAAAATTGATGTGAATTTCCAGTATTACAAAACCTAGTAACAAACTGTAGCAAATGTCACATAAATTATACCTGTTCTATTGTGTCCCACATGTAAAGTTCTCCTTGTTGCTTTTTTTCTTCTTTCTTGTCTTCCAAGTTCACATCAATGTCTCCCTTTGGCCCCAGTTTTTTGTGCTTAAAAACAAAAGAAACCCCACACATTCATACACTCACATAGAATCATATATAAAATTGGTGATAATATTTCAGCTTAGTCAGTATTACTGGAAGTATTTCCCTCCATTGCACAGCCTTCTTCTGTCATTAGCATAACAACAGGTGTTCCACAAAGCTTTATGCAACCAGGCTGGAATGTCTGTCTTTCTTTAAAATTTAAATCTCATAGTAAGGTTAAAAATTTAGTAGAGGTGTCATTCAAGCAATGAAGGAACAACTAGTTTGATAAGAGCTCACCATTCTTTAGAGGACAGAAAACATGAAGTGACACATACCAAGAAACAAGGATAAAACAAGAAACCCTCTGCAGAGAACAGGACATAAGGAGCAAAAACCAAACCAAAACAAAAAGATATGGAATTAAAATGAATGGGGAATTCACTCTTCTACAAAAAAAAAAAGAGCAGAAGAGAAATCTTTTATGAAAAGAGGGGTAAGTTCTACTTTCTTGAGACTGCTCACAAAAAAAACCAGTGGCTCAAGGGGCTAAGGGTAACATCAAATCCTTAACAGCAGTTAATGATGGGATTAATCATCTGGTACCTAGTAGTTCTCAGCTACATTCTGTTCTGCGTAGCCTGCTGCAGGTAGATTTCAATTTGACAGGCTTATCTGAAAAATCCCGCAGGCCCCTGAAGCGGGAGCTGCCTCTGACTGTTCACCAAGAACATTTTCCAAACAAAAGCCAAATAACACAACTAGCTCACTGGCAGCTGCTGATCTGTTTAAAGACTCTTTTAGACAGGACAGAGTGATATGGATGTTCTCTTATGCAGACTCATAGTTGTTTGTAATTCCCTTTAAATCAGATCTGTTGCTATTATTCCTGTGCCTATGCAACTCCCCTCTATGCTCTGCAGAGTAACAACAGACAGTTTGGAGGGGAAAAAAAATCCAAAAACTTAAGCATAGAACTTTTGCACCTTATAGTGGGGTGCTATTATTTCCAGTCTCACATTCAAGAGCTCTATGTTTATATCTATCTACCCTTATTTCTTCTGTTCAGAAGTTTAATACATAGGATACAGTGTTACAAGAGATGGATAACTGAAGCATAGACAAGAGTAGTTATTATTTTACTAAAGAGATCATAAGCAGCCCTCAGATTCTCCACCTAATTTTGCCTTTTGAAAAGTTCTACTGCAGTTTCAATCTGAGAAGTCCTTTTTTGGTTATCTGCCTCGTGTTGTCACAAAACAGTACAGAGTAAAGCATCTGTATTGCCCAGAAGGTAAGACATTATAACAGTGACTGCCTTCTAACAGGAGTACCTCCATGTTTCACAAGTGGCTTACTAAATTGCATATATAAATCACACTGAATTAGTAAACACCCATGCATTTTTGCAGTTGGCAAGCAATCACAACAATTTAAGTGTGCAGCCTGCAAGTGTTTTGGGTTTCACTTGAATGAGAGGTATTCTTTGGAAAAGAAGTTAGTAACACTAATCTAACTTTCTATTCAAGAACATACTTCTATGATTTTTAAGCAGGCCACATTGTGTAAAAAGTCTACGACTAGCATCTCCAGTAGTGAACCCTTGCTGAATCAGCAGTGACATTTCAGGAGCTGGAAGACCTTTAGAAAAAGAGCTGACATTCGGTCTAGCACTTGAACTAATGACACTTATTGCAAAGAAAACCAACAGCAAGCACGTTAATATGTAGTGTTACAGAACTCCATACAGTATTGCAAAATGTTACTAGTACACACTTTCAAGTGTGGGGTTTCTTGTCTCTCAACAGAAACTAACAGCTAAGCTGTGAAGCCAGAAATAGTATTTCTGGCTTCTGCTCTTGTTTTCCTATTTTACCTACCAGGGCACAAAGCAAGCCTACCTTGATGATGATTTTTTCTTTCAGCTGGGTTGGTGATGGTAGCTGATCTGCACTGGCTTCAATAGGCTTCATTAAAAGCTGATCCCCAAATACCTCCTTGAACACCTTGGCCATGTGTCGCTGCTGCTCCACGCTACAGTGCTCTTCAATTGACAGAATGACTGGGTATCTTTGATGGAGAAAACAAAGGTGAATGAAGACAATTATTTTTTTTTTGCTGCAACTGGCAAGGCAAGGAAAGCAGCACCCTCTGTCCCCCCCCAGATCAAAGAAAATATTTAAAGCAAACAGGAAGACAAAAGGAATAGAGATAGACACACAACAGATAACAACAGATGTGTAATCACAGAATCATTAAGGTCAGAAGGGACCTCTGGAGGCCATCCTTCTTTAGAAAGGCCCAGTTCCTAGGTTAGATCAGGTTGCTCAGAGCTTTGTCCAGCCAAGATTTGAATATCTGCAAGGACAAAGATTCTTTCCAAACTCTTTGGGCACAGTTTCAGTGCTAAAGCACTATTATGTAAAAATTTGTTTCTGTCTGTTTTCCTTGGCATGCTCTCTGAGAAGAGTCTGGCTCCATCTTCTCTATAATCATCCACTAGGTAGTGGAAGACAGCAACCAGACTGCCTCATTAACCTCTTCTTGAAGCTAAACATAGTTCTGTGAGCTTCCCCTTGAATATCATGTGCTCCAGCCCCAATACTGAAAACTGAGGGAGAGAAAGCATTGAGCAGCCTTCTCCAGTCACTAAATCGCCTGTCCAATTCAGCAGCAGGCTCACATTTCTCTTCATCTTCCTTTTGTTGCAATTGTACCTATAGAAGTCTTTCTTTCTGCCCTTCACATCCCTCAGGAATTTCATCTCCAGATGAGCTTTGGCTTTTCTGATTTTGTCCCTGTATATTCAGGAAATACTTCAGTATTCCTTCTGGGTAGTCTATGCCTTAGTGCAATTAGGGGAAGCATCACACTGCATACACAGTACTGATGGTCTAAAACCATAATGCATCAAGTATCATTGTCTGTCTTTAACACAATATGCCTGTGCAGACACTGTCCCACATCAGAAAATAACATTTCTTCTCTATACCCAGCTGGTGAAGTGGAAAATAGGATGCTGACAGCCCTCTCTCTTTCCCAATTTTAAGGCAGTATTTTTCATGTTAAGGACATCTCAGCACAAGTTATAGAAGGGCAGAGCAAAGACACAGATTTAAACCCATGTTATCAGTTCAGGAGCCATGTTATGAAGTCTACATTTTCTCAGCTAAGACCTTTCCTACAACATGAACATCACCTGATAATTATGTTGCTTGTCAACTGTAGTTTTGGGGGGTTTTTTGTTTTTTTTTTTTTTTTTTAATTTAAGACATACTTTTCAGCGTTTGAGGTTTCACACTTCAATTTAATAAAAGAAGACCCAAGCAAGGAGATGGGAACCACTTTAAGGTACTCACTATCCTCCTTAGCAGCGAATTGCTATATAATGGAACTTTTCCTCAAAACTGAATCTATTAAAGACCCACATTTGGCAAAAATGAAGATGACTAGAATGCCTTTATTCCCCTATTACTTTTTGCTCTAGATAACAGAGAAAAGTAGTTCAGGAAGGTCTAAGGATATGAAAATAGGCTTAGGAAAAACAAATAAAAACTTACTCAGATGCAACAAAGGCATGATCTTTGATTGCCTGTACAACGTCATCAAATTTGATCTTTGTTGTCCGCGTCCATCCATGGTAAATGATAGGTTTCCCATCAGGACCATCCCAGCAATCCACTAGAAAGACAAACAGTGGGAAAAGGAAGAGACCAAGCAGTTACTTAAATAACTCTAGTAGAAAGAATACATCTAAATCTTGTTCCACAAATAGAGTCATAGACTTTAATGTTGTAATAAAATATTCTCTTATATGGATTTATATCTCTCACAGAGGAAATTAAGTTCACTTAAGTAAGAGCGATACAAATAAACACAGTGTCAAATTTTTCCAAAGCATTATCATGTGGAAATCTGGAAGTAAGGAATTCAGGCAGCTATACTGTCAGTCTACTAGTTTACAGTAATTTTCCAGGGATAAATACACTCCAACAAGTGGCAAGTTGACAGCTTATCTATTTTGTTGATTTTAACCCTGAAACTCTCATTTGAGATACATTTTGCACTAGCCAAATTGAACAGGCAGTAGCAACTAGTTTTATGAAGTAACTGGTGAAAGAACATAAAATTAAAATCAAGCTTTTCAATAAGGTACACAAGCACAGGGATGAAGACTCATACACAGTGGAGAACAAATGCACAAAGAACTCAAGTGATTTACAAGCAAGTTAAACAGGATGACAAATGACACCAAATTACAAAAATCTCTGGGCCTTGGGCTCATCTGTATTACAATGAAGGCAAATAAACTATCTATCTCTGCTACACAAGTAACTCCAGTTTAAACCCTACGCTTTCATACAGTAGATCCAAGATTCAATTTTTGGTGTGCAGTGGGATGAGATTTAGAAAGACCCTCTTAAAATTCCAAGGGAACAAGAATCAGAGCAAGTGAACAGGGGAATAGTGAGGCATAAGAAAAACAATTTAGGGAATCAGTGTTTTTTATATGACTAACTTCAACTTCAGAAAACAATCTACTTCTTGATTTCAGTTCTTTTTTCTTTCCTGGTAAACAGGGGAAACTCTGCTTATATGGACAGCATGTTAAAAACACTCCAGAAACTCTTTACTCACACTCAATACATCGACATCCCATTCTAAGGCACCTGATGTAAGCTTCTGTGGAGGATTCACTTCGAAGCTGGTCTCCCGTCAGATATCTAAGGAGTAAAAGGAAATTGTAAAAGACAGACAGTCAGTTCCAACCATTTCCCACTCACTCACTGGGTGACATTTCTCCTCCTGTAATGGAGAATGTATGTTGATTTATTTATTTTTTTTAACTTGTGATGGAAGAACTGGACTCTGCTGAACACAATGCTGTCAGATTTTTAAATGGACCAAATTACAGGAGGTTAAAGGCTCAGTCTAAACATCAACCAACTCTAACTGCCATGTTTCTGGAGAGCAAATCATGAGCTTTGAAATATACCTAAAACTCATCATGCTGAGGCATAATCATGTTTGAAGGATGTGGAGGGTGTTTAGAATGACACCACACCCTATATTTCAAAACATACCTATAATCTATATCCATATCCATTTTATTTCATTCCCTGTAGTATTTTATGTATTCATCTCTGCTCCCTCTCTTTACACCTTCTTTCTTTTCATTACAACGTTAGATGAGCAAATCCTTTTCATCTGAATACATTTCAAACTCATCATCACATAGCTTTGTACTTGGGCTAAAGAGCTTGCATACCACAGATTGTCAAGGAAAAGGGCTGGATACCTTAGACACAAACTACAGAAACCAGCAGCTAAGATACTAAGCATGTAATTCTAAAAACAGTAACAACAAGAATGCAGTCCCCAGGCCTTCAAAGTTCTGGCTTTAACAAACTCAAAATAACAAAGACGAGCATGGATAGCAAATTGCACTCTTCCTCTGCCTTAGGCACCTCTGTTTGCTCTAATCCTTGTCATCCAGGAAAAGATCATGAATAGCCAAGTCCTGACCAGCCGATGTGCTAAGTTAAGGTCTCCATACTCCTCTCCTGCTCAGGACCAAATCTTTTCCACTTCGCAACACTGTAAATTGTCAGAGTATCTATCAGTAGCACACATCACTGCCTCCTTTCCCAAGGCAACAGATCTACTGCCCTTCAGATCACACTAACAGTATGGAATTTTCCCACAGGACAAGCGGGGCCCTTATGGCATTCTTATGTTCAGGTACAATTAATGCTTACACTAGCTCAGAGAGACTGTTGGTGCTTGGAAAAAATGGAAGCTCCTTCAATAACTTTAATTTCTGAAAGCAGAGAAGCTGGAACAGTTTCAGCTCAAGACTTCTTTTTATTTTTGTAACAGGATTCAGGGTTTGGGTTTTCTGGCAGCTGACCTTGGTTATATCTCAAAACCTCTTAATATCTTAAGAGAAGGGGGGGGGGAAAAAAAAAAAAAAAAAAAAAAAAAAAAAAAGAGTTCCACAAACTGTATTTGCCACATTTACATCACACTTTAGGAAGGTTTCATATATCCACATAATAATGGCATAATTTAGAAGTATTACTTTCTCCTAATATGTGCTTGAACAAGGATAGACAATGGGACTTTCAGTAACTTACGTGTTATGAGAGGAAGAAATCCAGTAGTGGGACAAAGGATTATTCATGTCCTGAGCATCTATTGAATCATATTTCTCATCCCAAATACTGTTTTCTTTTGCAAAAAGGTAAGTGAGGAACTACAATACAAAGAGAGAGACTGAATTTAAAAGTTTTTACCATACAAGACTAAAAAAAAATACCAAGAGGAGCCTAGAGGATCTGCCATCCAATTAACAAACCAGGAACCAGCAGTAAAAAAAAAAAAGTCCATGAGGAACTATTAGAAAATACCATTATCTTACCTCATCAACAAAAAGGAAGGGTTCAGCAGTTTCTCTCAAAGTGTCATCAATAAACTTTGTCATTCGTTCTCGGACTTTACTGAGATCTTGTGCCCAAGATTCCTTCAGATAATAATAATAATACAGTAGAAAAAAAAACTTTATAAGTTGTATTATACTATGTAAAATTAAATAAGGAACAGAGAGACCTACCGATGTGATTTACTTCTCTTTCAACTGGCTAGTTTACTGCCAATATATTTTATTGTACCCACACATTTTAAGAGTTTCCTCTATAATGTCTAAGGGTGAAGAAGAAGATCTTCATCTAAGTACCTTCATATAGATTGGAGGCCCACAAGATACATACTACATATGTACAAATATGCATGCACACACAGAGAAAAAAAGCTGACCTCCTTGAAGGACATGCCTTAACTATAATCTCTCTCATTTCTAAGTGCAATCTGAATGTCCTTTTAACACAGAGAAATAGGGAGAAAAAGAAAGTAGCAAGCTTATACAGGAAGCATAGATCTCTCTTCTCAGTCATATTTGCAAATCTGGAGCCTAGCAGCACTTAGCAAACATCACACAATTTTTTCCCATGGTGTCTGTGCTAAATAATATTCTAGAAGACCGTGAAGACACAGTTCCAGTCCCTGCCTCCATCCCTACCTGCTTGCTGGTATGGGACATCAAGCTGGCTCTACTCAATAGAAAATTACCTTTGACTCAAATGCAGGCAGTCAGCTCAGCTTTTTATGCAAGAGCTGCTAAAATGAGTCTGTGGCCAAGGCATTACCCCAAGTGCACCTAGCTGTAAGAGCTGTAACTAGGCCAGGCTATCACCCTTGATATACATCCAGTGTTTATTTCTAACCTTGTCTATTTATCTATCTATCTCTAAATGGAGACCTGTTAAAACCTTATTTGCTTTGTCCACAATCTTGTCCTCTGGTGCACCTCCAGAGTCTTTACACAGATGAAAAATAATACTTCTTGTGAACTTCAATGGCAGCAAGTAAGGAGAAATCTTTCCAAGGCCTAGTATCACAGCTGACATCAATCATATTCTATGACACACCACATTTCTTTTTAATGAGCACAGAATTCTGTGAGACAACCTCAAGAAAAAGAACTCAAAATTTTTGCAGTCTTCCCACCTGCTGCTCATGTAGCAGGAATCTCTGAAAGTCATGGAGATGAACTGCTGAAGCATCTGGACGGTCAGTATTTCTTAAGAAAAAAGAAAGGGAAAGTAAAGCTAAAGAATTAACAGAGCAAGTGTCATCAGATGTTATAGCAGAAAATGACTTGTACCTTTACAGTATAAATGTGCTGCCACCACCAAGAAACTTTTTATAACTTCAGTGGAATTTAGATTAGGCTTGTAAGAGTGTATTATCTAATTACTGTATTTTGAGCCTTTAAATAAAGCCTCCTGGATTCCTGATGTATTTTTGATAGTGATTCACTGAGAAAAGTACCAAATCTCTGCTCCTTGCTTTGTAGCAAATGAGCAGCATTCACTTGACAGGGGTGTTGTTAAGCTTAGTTGAGGCACACGGAAACACTGTTCTTTTAAATTACCAGAGCCACACTTCCACAAATAACTCCTTCCATGAATTACTCAGATCAAAACCTCCTTAAAAAGGAGGCAAGATGCAGCTGCACCAAGAAAACAGCACAATTGTTTTCTCTTTTGCAGGACACAAATGCTGCATCATCTGGTACCAATAAGGTATTAATAACCTACCCATCCCTGATAAATCTGTGCTTGTAAGCAGTCTTACAAAGTCTAATTCATATGACATGACCAAGGGCTAAGGAAATACGCAATACGCTCAGAGCAAACTTTTGAAGTAACTTCCTTAATGCGTTACTGTAATAATCAAAACCAAGATAAACCGGTTCAATTTACAGTCAAAATGTTAGCAAAGCCTGTGACCTCCCTTTTCATGCTGTACACATCTTAAATTTTCAGGTTCACCAAGTGAAAGATGCAGAAAGTGTGACTATCACCATTCTGCTCAAGTCTAGGCAAAGCCTGTGCACCACACTACTCTCCAGACTGGAGTTAGAATATCTCCATCAAATTGTCCAATAGTTCTGTTCAGCTCTTAGTAAAATCAGCAGATAAGCAAATTCACTTGTTCAAGTCCATGCTATTTTGGTGGTCAGAAGGTAAAAAACATTTATCCAAATTATACTCAGGACTTATTTCCATGATAAATTCACCTTTCTGAATGCAAAAAGATGTATCATTTCTTTACACTTACTAAAGCATCAGAACAAAAAAACAGTGATGTAATTAAAAAACAATCCTGCAGCACTACAATCATATGGAAATGTGGAAAAATAATACAAATGAAGAGTCTCACCCAAGAATGAACACAGAAGAATCCTTTTTGAATTCATCAAGAATCTTAAAATAAAAAACACAAAAAAAGGTGGAAAAGATAAATAATAAAAGAATATGCAATTCTCTACCTAATTCCATCTAATAATGTCCATTGGTTTGGGAAGGGAATATATAGGCGTTTCTGCCCTACAGAAACTGCATACAAGCTGGCAAGACACATTTTGAATTAAATGCATAAGAAAAAACATACTGCCAAGGCTGGCAACTGCATTTCAGGCCTTTCAGTGTGAACATACACAATTCTCAGGCAAAAAACTTGCTATTGATAAGGCACCTTAAACACACAGTCAGCCAAGTTTCTGGGGAGCTTTTATTGTTTGATAACCCAGAAAAACTGGAATTATGGATCATCCATCACATTTATTCATGTGAATATAAAACCTAAATTGCTTCCAGGTTGGAGCAGCGTAGTTACAGATCACAGGAAACTTAGCAACTGACCCAAAGCAGTTATTGAGCAAACTGAAGAGTTTCTTTGAAATTATCCACAAGGGGTGATAACGAGTTTAAGGAAGTCAGATAGCCTCCTTACTCTGTGTTTTACTCTTCAACCTTCTGCTCAAGCTAATTAACTAGACTTTCATGGCCAAAACTAAAACCCTGTCAGTACATGGAGATTCTTTATTACTTCACAATAATTTCAGCATCACTTTTGAACAGCACAAGAAAGTTCTATTGCCAAAAGAAACAGCAATGACTTTCACTATCGAACCTTCTATTTTAGCAACTGCAAGTTGAATCAACAATAAGCACATGTGACAACAAAGACGTTCATGCAAGTAACTTCAAATTATGTGTTTTCACACAGTTTTAAAGGGCTCCTAACCTTCAGAGTCACTAAATGTCTTCAGTTTCCATCAATTTAATGAATCTATGCAGTGAATACATGGACAAGTAGTGAGGGAGTTGCCTGTACAAACTTGTTAAAATGTAATTCCACTGCATTCATGCCTCCCAAGGACTGTCGGATGCCTGCCTTGTAATGGACTCACCACCAATAATCTCCAGGCATGAGAGAAGATGAAAACAATAGCTGTTATTTGATGCTCAGGATACATCCTTGTGATTTACAGAATGTTCTTAATGATAAAAGATTAATACAAGTACGGAAAAACCTTACTCCTATCAGTAAAGAGATCAGCCAGGCCTAATGAAAAGACATTCTACATCCTTAACAAACTTACAAGAGAAGTTCTCCCTAGGAACCCCATTATATCTGTGCACATCTCTACTACCAACACAGAAGAAGCAACATGAATGACTTGTTCATCTTCTTAAGCCAATTGCTGATGGAGACTGTTATCTACACATCAAGTACCATACTATACCCTTTTCCTGCTACAAGAATGGAGGAAAAAGAAAATCAGTAACAAACAGAAACAAAAAAATAATCAGCATTCACTCTTTATTCTGATCAAGCAGTTTAACATTACGAAGACTACTTATGAAAGAGCTTACCGATTTCTGTTGTTCAAACATTATTTTCTTGTAGAACAAATGAAATTGTTCAAAACTAAGCTCTTCCTTGTACGCACTTACTTCCTACAATAGAAAGTAGCACGCAGTGAATTTTCAATTCCTTAAACAGCATTTGCACAGCAAACAAGTTACTCTTACTCCAGCTGCCACCCTTTCACACATTCTGTTCTACTCCAACTTGATTTAACCATTTGGAATTTTTAAAATGTATTTATTTTTTTAAGAATACAAACAAGTAAATAGATTCTTGGTTTGTGACACTGTACTCCTAGCCCACATCTTTGGCCTTGCATTTTGTACCCTGACTCCATTTCCTCTATGTTACTGAGAGTGAAGTTGTGCCCCATTTAGTCATAGTTAGCTGGAGCAACAGAAGCAAGAATGTATCCTTTAAGGGTGGAGAGTTGGAAAGCAGGAAAAGGTGGGGATATTTAAAATTCCCGTAGGAATGGAAACGACCTTCAGAAGTTATTAACATTAGCACAAGTTGGAGTGAAAAGGTTATTACTTGATCATATTGCAAAAAAATTCTTTTTCTTATATATGAATTGTATCTTAAACATAAAACTATTTCCTATGCACTTGCACAGTATCAGCACTGGAGCTCAAAACCCAGTGTTGGCTTTGGTCAACTGTACAATGCAAAGAAGGAACATTTATGTCTATGTTTTCTTATAGCCTTAGATATAGGCAAAGCTAAGCTGAGCAATTAGCCAATATAATTTATTGAATTGTACATGGTAAGAAGCAAAAATATAGGCAGTAGTCTGGAAAGAAATAACACCACCTATCAGATAATACCAAACAGATATAAGTTATCAGGTAATTACCGCAAATTTATCCTTCAAGAACTTCATGCTGCTCACTTTGAAGTTTACTTGGGGAAGGACAGTTTTCAGCTCTCTAAGACTGATACTAGGGAAAAAAAGAAGAAAAAAAAAAAGATAACAAAACCTCCACAGGTCTGCCGTATCTAGTCAGCTATTAATATATTTTGTATCAATACAAAACTGTTGAAACATTTTGGGAAGGGCTCATCTCACATATCTGTAAACTTCTATGAGCATAACACCTACATGTGAGCAAGCTAGATACGCTTTCTAGTTAGTGGGGAGAAATACGCATTTCAATCAATTTGGGCATCCTTATTAGGATGAAAAGAACCGTGCTGCAGAGACACCCATTTCTCTCCATCAACAATTAATCATATCTAGATGATCAGCTCAAATGTAGATGTTTACATATTGCCAGATGAAATCCAGCCTGTCTTCCATTGTTCCAGTCCCACTGAAACTGGCATAAAGTCACAGAGATCATTATACAAAGGATATATCCAATGGATGAGCAGAAACAGAAAATAAAAAGCTCCAGCTGTCATTACCATCATAACCTTTTTCTCCAGCTGTTATTCACTTGGAAGATAAAATTGATTTGCAGCAGAAAGACTCTCCCCTTCTGCAACATTTGAACATGACCTCATCCTCCTCTCCAACCAAGTCTTTCCAGAGAGGATTGCCTTCCAGGTCCATTTACAGAGACCTGCTGACCCTTTTTACAGAGTTTCAGAATGTCCAGTGATATACCAGTGACACTTCAAAAACCAAAGTTTTCTAGATAACAAGACCTTTCAAGTAAGACATACTTATTTCAGAGTTTAAGCAACACAGTGCTTATATACACCAAGTATTTAAGCAATACTTCTATATAAAGCTAAATTTATTAATCGCTGCAATACTTTGTGGCCACACATACTTTCTGGCCATACATCAAATCATGTATGATGTATACATCAAACTTCTTTTGTTCAAGAAAGACTTTGTATTAGAAACAAACCTATGAATAGCTTATTTTGAAAGCCTCCATTTCCTTCACATCTTCCAGTCTTCTCATCAACCTCAGATTTTATTCCAGTGTCCTAGATGCCACTGCCATAGCATCCTCCACTGCAAGCTCAGAGCAGCGCACAGTATTTACTATACTTATCATCAAAATGGAAATAGGAAGTAAGGGAACGCTACTGTAACTCCTGCATGAATAGAGAAGGGTGATTCTAAAGGAGCTGGGTGTCTAAATGCTTTAAATGTGCCATAGGTACAGGTGAGCCAATTTAACAGCTCACTGCTGTTACAAGAAGCAGCCCCAACTCCTCTGCTTGTGCCCCACTCGATTCTCCTGTTGCTATGGTCCCAGTGCTTCCATAGGCCAACTGTGATCAAACCTCATCAAACCTTCTTCTAACCTGATTCAACTTGCTAGGCAATCAGAAAAGTATGTGGCCGAGAGAGAGAGAACAAGTTTTCCACCGGCTTCATGAGGTCACCCAGCTCTCTTCATGCCCAGATCAGTGTCACAGCCAGAATAAGAAAAGGGGCTGGAATGCCTGACTAGCAGCATGTAGAGATAGTAGAGGAAAAGGAAAGATTGCATTCAGCAGCACCAAACTGGTACACCAACTCAGCCATCTCCTGTAGCCCCATTTCAGTCACCTGCTATTCAACTTGTCTTTGGATAGCAAAGAACAGAAATTCAGTCGCACGTTCTACAACAGAGTCTCAACTCTGGGTACTCTGAGTAGGCACTGATGTGAGGTCTCCGTGAGAAAGACACAGGATTACAGCAGGACATGTGAAGGGCACAGGCACAAGTCCTAGAGTGGAAGATGAGGGGAATCCATGGCAGCAAAAGGAAGCCGGTAAGAGTCAAGAGAACACAGGCACAACATCCATGGGTGCTGCTGCCAATGCCCACAAAACGTTAATGCAATACCAACAGTACCTGAGAAAACAAGGCTCAAGTACTCTGTCTTGACCTACAGTGCAATTCATAAGCCATTAACTCTCTGCAAACACAGGGTGAGAACACAAGTCACTTGAAAGCAACAAAACCAATCAGCACCTAGACAATAGTAACACTTCTATTCTACAGTGTCCATACAAGGAGCTACCCTGTGAGATATTCTCATCTCCATTGTGGGAAAGAGGCAAAGCAAGAAGGAACTTAGCCGAAGTCCATGCCAAAGCCAGATTAGAACTCAGGAAACTCCTGGCTTTCCGCCTTGTCGCCAGACCTCTGGAAAAAACCACTTCTTTTAGGAGCAAGAATGAGCACTCTGTTTGTACCCTAAACACCGAGCACAAGCAATTTCCTCTGGCCAGACAAGTGCAAGCCAAAACAAAGAGCTGGGACTTCATTACCACTGGAAAAAACTCAACCTGTGAAACAGGACTTGCCTGGAAGCCTAACCTTTACAATTAACCTCCCTAGAAACTGCAACACTAAACACAATGAAACTCAGTCCAAACTCCTTTCCTGAATTTTTTAAAAGCATGCGTCATCTATCAAGAGAACGAAAAACTGCCCTTTCCATAGGGCAAGTCCCCTTGATCCTAACCATACTGCCTTGTAGGGATGAAAGCAACAAAAGAAACCTCTTCAGCAGACATACACTGTCAGCCACAGCTTCTCTATCCTAACATTTGCTTTTGCTTCATGATGCCTGCCAACGTATCCCCATTGCAGGGCTAGTTTTTCAGAATACATCAGGAGGTATAAGCCAATATCCAGTAAAGGATAGTACTTTCCCTTTCATCACTCCGGCCAGCTTAGGAAACACTGTTTTGAAATGGCGTCTCAGCTCACACTGAAGCCAGCTGCACAATGCCACAGGCTGTCTGCAGAATGGTGTTATTTCCTGCAATAACACAGTCTCATTCACACAATGAAACACCACACTTTATTTTGCTTTTAGGAGAAGGCCTAAATGAAAGGAAATGCATGTACTTTTCTACGCTGAATTACACCTGAGAATAAAACGCATGTTCCAGACAAAGAATAAAATCATGCTAAAGTAATAGATGCGGGGGAGGAAGGGTTAACATTCTTCTCAGTGTCGCATGATTTCTGGAAACTCTAAGGAGAGGTATGCAGCTGAATTCATTAAAAAAAAAAAAAAAAAAAAAGTCTCCTTTGTTGTGCAAAAACTACAAACCCACATCACACATGGACCTGAAATGAAATGAACTACTGAAACTCAAACGTATGAAGTTACACAGCACATGGGGAGCTACAACCCATGGGCCTTCTTTCACATGAGAAGCACCATGTCAGAGGTAATTCTATGGCTCTGGTCTATTCAAATATGTGGCAAAGAGACAAGCCCATGTAGTCAGGCCACTTGCTGGGAGAAAAAAAAATAAAAATAAAATAATCTTGCCCTTATTCCAAACCACTAACTTTGCTTCCTTCTATATCTTGCTGTTCCAGTTTAATATTGCAATGATAGATATGAATTATAAAAGCAGTCTTCAGGTACCTCTTTTTTTTTAATATTTGCTTATTTATATTGCTGAGTAACTGTAAGGCACTAAGATCTATATAAACATAATAAAAGAGAGCCTCTGTCTTAAAGAATGCAGCATCAATGTATGGGAGACAAGGCAAATAAGCAATAATGTTTTATATGGTCAGTCATAGTTTTGGTACATCGCCTATAGCCACTGTTGGACAGCCACACTTCACAGACATCACAACAGGGATACCTCCTTTGCCTCCAGCAGTGCATTCCAGCTTCACACTCCCCACTTCTATTATTTGTCTCAATAATACCTTGTGTTCTGTCATTTTGCTCCAATCTGTGGAATTTTCTTTATTTTCAAATTAAATTTATTTTTTTAAACCCAAATAGTTCTCCAGATAGTTTCTCAAATTTAATGCTATCAGTGAAATCCTAGTGAAAATACCAATTTGTTGTCAAAAACAAATACCAAAACCTACTAAACCCAAGCATATGCAACAAAATCTTCCTCTCCTTCTATATGTTGTCTGACTTGTGTTCTCTGCTTTGCTCAGTTGTAACCTCCTCAGAAAAAGCTATTTCCCTTCCCCTGCATTGCCCTGCTTTGAAAACTAGATTGACAGTGAACAATCCAGCTGTCTATGATACCGCTGGATTCAATGGAAGAAGCAAATTGCCCAAAGTGTGCAGCCTTCTCAAGAAGGTTGGGACTCTGCATGGTCTATCCGAAAAGTTCAAATATTTCCATATTTCCTTGTCATGAATCTCTTACTCAAGGAAAGGCTTCGTTTGAGTTGCTCTAAAAGAGGCCCCAGAAAACAGGAAAATTTAGTCAGGCCCCTTGCTGGGGAAAAAAAAAAAAAAATAAAATAATCTTGCCCTTATTCCAAACCACTAACTTTGCTTCCTTCTATATCTACCCTCAAGAGTATCTTCTATTTCCCACTGTTAAGGTAACTCTTTCACACAGCACTACCCTGTCATACCAGCAGTCTTCCTCCTCCTCTCCCATAATATCCTCAGGTATCTCTGTTATCTCCTCTTCCTCTTAATATTCTGTTCTGTTCTCCTCACAACTCTGACTCCTGCAGGAAATAATTCATGTTATTTCTGGGACAACCCTATCTCTGGATAGACCTGACACTGCTGCTGTGACTAGTTTCAAACTAGATACCACACATACTAGCCACGTTCACACCCTATCAGGACTGAAACAAGGGAAGGCTAATCACTTAAAACATCTGCCCTGGACCTTTAGCAGCCCATGTTGAACTCTGCTTATGCACCTTCATTGTTACTAATGCCCAAACAAGCTTTTTAAACTGGTTCTGGTCTGTTTACATTAGAGTGTAGTCACTCCAATGCAAACACGCTTCAGCAATGAAGGAAGAACTGGTGGCATAGCTGCACAGGAAATCTCACAGTGGGTTAGACAGTCCAAGCTGCTGGGCTCCAACTTGGCTATGAAAGCGCAAAGACCTCTCTCTATAAAGCAAGCAACCTAACATACCTGCACAGCTGAGCTGAAGCTCTCCAGTAAGACTGGGAGAAGACAACTCCCTTTCCTCATTCTGGCAGAGTAATTCTAGGCTAAAAGCAAAACTATTTATTTTTCATTTTCTCCTTATTATACCATGTACATGAACACGAGTGAGTGCTATGAACACATAGTGTTTAGCAAAAGGCAAATCTCAAGCTGTTAAAGCAAGAGCAAATGTCATGTTCAGGGGTCTCATATTTCACATCTTGCACAAGTATTTATTTCTTTTCATTCCATGTTAGAATCCGCAACAAAAGTTCACTAAAAACCAAACTGAACAAAGAGAGAGCTTCTTACCTATTTCTCCTAGTTTGATCAACAGAGTAGATCTGCTTTCTCAGCCAGCTTGTGGAAAAGACAGAAAAAGAAAAAAAAAAAAAAAAGGTTTAATCTAAGAATTATAAAGAAAACATAGCCAATGAAATATCAAAATCCATAGATGAAATTCAATAGAAGTATTTAAAAAGTCATACGATACATGTCTTTTAATAAAGCAAAAACCTTTCCAGCGCAGCATCTAAGGATTCAGCCAGTTTTATAACCATATTGGTAAATATATACTTCCCTACTGCTTAATACTGCATTTTAAAGTCACATAAACAACACAGGAAGGGGAAGGGTGGGCAGGACAATAAAGAATGAGCAACCAGAAGCTGTAAAAATCTAAGTGAATAAAACAAGCTAAAACTTCAGCTCATCTAAACTAGAGTAACTCCATCAAGTCAATGATTTATGTCAGCTGAGGCTGCTGGCTCAAAGATCTGTTAGATGCATAAAAATTAAAAATTACTGGGGAGGGAGAGGTGTTTAGAGAATTTTAAAGAAAATCCTCATTAGCGTGCATGACAGTTTTAGGTGCACAGCGAAATACTATTAGCAGCATTAACAGTAAATATATATACACATAATTTTGATCTAAAGGATGAACACAGCATGTTATTATTTAGCTTATCCTCAGTCTCTACAGGAATCACTCTGCTGCACAAACATAGCCTGGAACCCAGTAGCACTTTGTATATCAGCTAGCTGCAATACCATACAATAGGTAAGGATAGATAAGAATACTTTCTCCCTAACTGGAACGGCAAGTAGGTAAAGACAACATCAAAGTCAAAGCCACAAATTTGATCAGGTAGCATGCAAGGACAGGGTATATCCTCACAACACATAACAGCAGTGACCACAAACAAAAATGTCAGCAGTGATGAAAAGCAACCAGGTACAGATACAGCGTTAAAAGCTTTTCAATAAAAATGGCATTCTGAGCATGAGTAGTTCTGCATGCAACACCCTCAGAAGCATTAAGGGTGCAGTTTCACCATCATGTGGCTGGCTGCTAAAAAGTAATCCTTAAAAATGTTCATTTTCAGCCTGGCTTTCCAAGTCAGCTGTTCACATTGTCATACAATGCAATGGGTTCAATAAAAGGGAGAAACCGTAAAAGCACATCTCAGAATTATCGGAACACAGGACACACAGACATCTACTAGAGGAAGCCTGCTGTGATTGCATAAGATGCTCAAATTTTCCAAGAAGTCAATGCACACTTAGACCAGATGTTCTTCTGATCTCATTAAGAGATTTTTTGTTTGGTTATACAGAACAAGGTAAATTGCAAGTCCACATTAGTGGCTGCAACAGAGTGCTATTCCAGGACATCTATACAGCAAAACAGACATGGAGAATTTCCATATGAGCTTTCTGTATCATACACTAACTGGAAAGTAGTTGTTCTTAAGGTAACTGGCAGGCAGCATTTATTGCACCTTAAACATTTCTTTCATTTTCCACTTTCAATTCCAAAGAAACATTATCTCACAAAGTGAAAATATGTCCACATACCTCTCTGTGATCGCAGGTGTGGGAGCACTCATGACCTCTTGATACAAGATATTCAAGCCACACAACCATTTATCAGCATCATCTTTAGAGTCAGCTGAAAAAAATAATATGCTATGAGAAACACCAAAATAAGATCAACACAAAACCAAGGCATAACTTGTATTGTTTAGATAAACCCTAGTATACAAAGCTGCTGATTAACTTTTCTCTTTGATAAATCTCATTGCATAGCTTCATGTTGCTGATAATAAATAACAGCATAAATTTGGGGGTGGGAGGGTTAATTCTGGAAGCTCTGTCAAAAAATACCTCCTTTTAGAAGTCTGCTTACCAGGGTAGGCAAGTTTCAATATCTCAGCAGAAAGACTATGAAACTACTGCTGAGCTCTTGTAGTAACACAATCAAAATTCACTTTCCTATCTTCTATTTCCAAAGTGGCAAAAGCCCAGGAACCTTGATCTAGAGCAACTTGAAGAGCACAGACAAAAGAACTCACGTTATAGCATAAAGTTAGTTCATTAGATTCCAAGCAACCTACAAGGAAATTCTTAAGTTCTGGCTTTTGGTGGACATAACCTCCTCCTGTCTGTCCTAACCGTGCCTATAAATACAGATTGTTCCAGACTAAACTTAGGCAAGAGGAACAGGAAGGGAGCAATGTACAAAACTGGTGTAGCTTATATAGAACACGTTTTAATACAAGTTAAGTTAAAAAAAGGTCTAAAATCCCTTACATAGCTTAACACTAGAAGCCAGGTACGTCTTCCTCCCAACCTTACAAATTGGTTTATCATGGTCTTGTTTTGTTTTAAATGTTGTTTGCCTTTCCATTTCCCAAACCAGAAGAGTCCTCCACATCATTTAACATGATCACATTTGGTAATGCTTCAACCCAACAGAAGCAAGATGATGAACTGCATGCTGGGTATAGCCTTCCCTAGGGAATACTGGTTAAGCTGAAACCAATTTTTTGGGCCTTGGATGAGACAGTATCATTACAACCTTCAGTTGGGCAAAGTCCATTTGCTTTGGCATGCTGGTTCAGAAATTTCATGACCAGCATTCTTCAATTAAATCATTTCTAAAAAATTATTCACACAGGAGCTGTAACCTGTGCAAATCCTTTTAACTGCCTTGAAAGCAAAATAGTTTCTCAAAAGATGAAGATTACATTTTATTTAAACATACTTCCAAACAATGCTTTATGCCTCAAGGATGAAGCTGGAGCCCAGCCTCAGCTCCCCATGGAAATGTTTTCCAATTAAGTTACAATTTCAGAAAGAACACCCACTACCACTGCCAAACCAATTCTTCTCCCAGGACAATTGTGCCCTTTATGACAGCTACCATTCCCCTTAAGTAACAATTATTTCATATTGTTTTAAGAAACCAGGACAAAGCACTTGAACAAGGAAAAGGATATCCCCCTTAACTGAAAGTTACATCATGTTGTTCTGCAGTTCAGCATTACAGCAATATATCTCATGGTACTGATTGTTTTCAAAGTATTGGCAGAGGCTTGGTTTTGAGAACTGCCATGGAGGAGGGATGGGGCGGGGAGGATGGTGGGGGTTGTTAGAGGAAATCAATCTGAAGCACCTGGCACAGCTGTACTTAAGCACAGCCACTTGCTCAAAATTTTCACAGACTTCAGCCAACAATGGGAAAACTTACTTAAAAGCCTACAACAATAGATTAGTCACAAGCAGTCTTTAATTTCCAGTGCATCAGACTACAAAAAAACCCTTCTACTACTGCAATTTATAAGCAATTAATTCCATCTTAAAAAAGCTACTGTTAGCATTAAAATGCTTACAAAGCACTCCTCTTTTCTCATTAAGATTTTGCAATGAATGTAATGATTTAAATGGACAAGCATGTTCCTGCACAGGACAGAAAGAACTACCACTCCAAATAAATCGCCTCTATGATTCTAAACTGAGGGTCCACCACAAACATTTTAGAAGAGAAATCTCTTTGTAAACTCCACTAGTTAGAAACTGTATTCAGCCTGCAATGTAAGAATTTATATCCCTTTTCATTTCAAATTCTTTGGGTTTGTGACCCTAGATAATCTCACCTGAAATAAGAAGTGTCCCAACCCCTTCCACAGATGCAGGATACAACTTTCCTCTGTTTCACACGGATCTCTTAGTTTTCAATTTATCGCTTTCCAGTTTTATTTATGGTCCCTTAGTACTTCTTTAGAAGAGGTTTAGTATTATCAGGTGACATGCACACACATAACCCAAACTAGAACTTTATTTTTCCAATAAGTCTGCAATTGCTTGTAGGTGATAGGAAAGTTTCTGTGAAAGTTTCTGTGATACAGCTGTGAAACAGCTAATGTTTCCAGAATCATTTTGGCCAGACTAAAAATGCCAAGGCAATATTCTAGCCACACTGAAGACAGCAGCAAATCCTTTGCTAACTTTAAAGAGGACAATGCCACCTCTGCTTTTCAGTGTTGAAAACCTTAGTAGAGATATTTAACCAGCAAAAGTCTACCTTGCTAGAAATGATCGAGCAAATCAGAAACTACACTCACATGATACACTATTTGAAAGCAAAACATTACAAATGCAGGAGTTCACAGACATGAAGGGATGAGTAAAAGGTCTATCTCCAGATTTTAAACATGTGGTGTGCTCCTGAACTGCTGAAGTCAAAACCACAGTATTCTTTGCATTACTGTTCCATCAACATATTTGATTTATTCAATCATTAGGTTTAAAGAAGAAACAAAGAAGAAAAAAGTACCTGCTAAGCTTAAGGTGTTGAGGACAAACTGGGTACCATAAAAAATAGTAAAGCAGTGTTCTTCTCTTTGCTTTGCTTTGCAACGCTCAAAGTCCTTTGAATTCTTTCCTGGGCGAATTTCTTTTATTTCCATCAGATCCACTGAAAGGAAACAACATTCAGTCAGTACAACTGCAGTTACATTCCACCAGAGCCTGAAACAATAAGATGAACAAATCAAAGCATGCATACATATATAAAATACCTATATAAAACAAGTTAAAGATCTTTATTGGGCAAGAAATGCAAATTTTACCAGCTTACAATCCATGAATCCACAACTAAATATATTACTGACAACAGTAGAGAAGAACCAAGAGAAGATGAAAAATAACTTCTCATATTTTTATCATTTCACTTTCACTGATTATTATCCATGGACAAAGTGTATACACACAGCTCCTTTGGTTTACAGAAGACATGATTTCACAAATGGCATTTAAGCAAGAAATTTCCAATTGCCATGACAACTGTTCAGAGACAAAAAAGAAAAGATACAACTTCTAACTTACTCACCTAAAAATTATGCATCAGATCTTAGATAGTCAGCTAACCTTGTCAGCTAGTATAGTCACTAGCACTTGCAAGAAAAAAATATTTAAAGTAGGAATAAAAAGAGAAACTCAAGCCTAATAATCAAAATGTTTGTTAGTTTTTTCCTGGTCAATTCCAAGGAGATCTCCATCACTTAACATAACCTGCTGTATTGCTTTCAACTTGCTGCTTTCTACAGAACACAGGTACATATTAGAGCACAGCAGAATGGGAACACTGCACAAGCAGGCATTTTCTCAAGCCAGCTCCCTTTTTATCAAACCCTTGCTTCATGGCCTGCATAACAGTAGTGAGACAGCATTGAAATAGAAATATGTGCACTCTCAAGATAAGATACTTATTAGAAAACTGAGGAAGTGGTTTTGTGCTGCCTGTGGACCAGACAAATAAACAGCTCTTCCCATTTTCGGACAGTCTTGACTTATGAGCTACAGGATGAAGAGTGAAGAAAAAACATTTCACAGCTGCTCTTGAAATGTGTTTATCAGACCTAGCAACATCCAAGGAAAATAGCTGAGGGTTTCTGTCCACACATTTAAGACTGCTGTAATATAAAAACCGTGTTTTAAATGAGCACCTCATCAGTAACAGAAGACAGTTCTGTCTTAATAATTCATAACATAATGAAAGAGCAACTCTGCTGCCAACAGAGGGGGAGCTGAACATTGCTTAAAGCTTTGGCCTGTGTAATGCTGGGTTTCTATGATGCCAACATGGAAAGGAGGAAGAGACAAGCTAGGAAGTTCATCAATAAAATCCTGAAAATGAAACATTAATTCATCTCAGAATTTCTGCAAAGTATCCCAGGACAAACTTTCCACCAGACATTTCTTTCTTCCAGTCATTAAACAATCTACCTTGAGAAAATGGGACCTCAAAGGTTAACCTGAACCAATTGTAGGACACAACCATCTTTCTTAAACTAATTTTTCCAAGTGTAATTATCTTGGAGATAGAGCTTTTAATGTCTCAGCCTCCGTGTCTCAGCCACCCTCTCAAACCATGAAAACATTTCCTAAGATCTGCATATCTGATTGGACAAGGCCCCTAAATTTAGATGCAAACTTCTAAAACAATTTAACAACATGACCATAAATGACCAGCAACCAAAAGGTCCTGCTGATGACTGTGATCCCCTTAATATCCAGAGTCTCACTTAGATCCCTAGCAGTGTATCTGAGTATCGATCCCAAAATGCCACCATCTGAAAAAGATGATCTAAGCCCACCAATTCACGTTAGTATCAGCAGCGAAGAATCAGGATGCAGAGAGAGAAAGTACCCCAATGGAGAGGGAAGGAGGTTGCGTGGCTGCAATAAACAGCATGGGACGGCGCACCACGCTGGCTCATTCTAATCATGGGCAAGAGCAACCCCAGTCACCTCTTCTGCTTTCCCTTCGCCCAACAAATCCCTAGTGAAAAGCACAGTTTTAACTTCAAAGTGAAGCACACCTTTCATTTCAGACCCCTACAAATCCACATATATGAACACCACACCATAAAGACCCTCTCAAATTATAAACTATAAGCAGCGATAAAACAGATTTCACAACCTGCACTGCTGTTGTAATTTCAAGTGGCTCTTACCTCATACTGACCTCTGAAACAAACACACAAACTTACTCAATGTCTCCCCTCAGTTACATATACTCACTACAGTTCTTTTCCTTGCATTACAACCTTTCAATCCTGCCATCCCATTCTCCTTTGTGAACGTATGTGTACATACATATAGGCACAAGGATTTTTGTATGCACACATTTCACACCGGTAACCATATTACTGTTGGTTTGACTGGTCTTTGAAAAAAGAGATTACTATACCCTAATTGCTAAACATTCAGTAAACAGAGGAATGGTTCAGCACAAGAACAAAATTGGAGGGCAGGGGTGAAAGGGAGAGAAAATATTCATACTAAAAAACCCCAAATTCAGAATTCTACATTCCTGTACTTTTCAGGCAACATATATAATATGTCCTACGAAATTCTGGCAAGATATCATTACATTTACTTAAATAATATATGGAGCAGATGTACAAACCACAAGTTTTATTAAACATTCTTTACTTTTTACAGAAAGAAAGATATAATACATGTTATAGTTCCAGAAAATGAATAGAAACTACCTGCATGTATTTTAATGACATTTCATAGTGTCATTTAGGATGTATTATTCTACATTACTGAAAAAAAAGCCAAGGCAGAAAAGCAGAGGGGGAAAAGAGAGACACGCACAGCAAGCATAAATTTTGGTCTCGCGCTAAGCTCTGCCGTCTCCCCAGGTAGCCTGGAGTCGCCTGGCACCCTCCACATGATGCCCACTAAGTCCAGAATGGCTGATCCCAACTGAACCCAGAATGGAACAGGCCAGGAAAAGCTGCAACATGTTTCAGACTCTGATTAGTAAATCAACTGTACCAATTTAGCTGTTATGCAGTTACTGTGAACTTTTTATAGCACAATCTGTCACTGAGCAATTAAAATGTAACTTCACGCCTGTGCCAGAACTACAAGCACAGCACCTCGGACACTCTTATCTTCTTACTGCCTTGAGGTACTGGAGCCTTCCTCCTGCTCAGTCCCACATGCAAACTGCAGAGCCGTATCCTGACCTGGCTTCACAGACAGATACTCCTGGGGCCTGATACACTTGAAAAAAGCAGACCTGGACATATGCAGCTTGCAGTGTCAGACCAAATCCAATATGCTTGCAGGTGCGATTTCCATAAAATAGTGCAAGAAGATTAATGCATTTCCCCATAATCATAAATCAAAGTATGCCCTGTAGAGAAGTTGACTCACACCCAGCAAGACAAGGAGGACACTCCCAATGCATTCAGTCCCCAGCCAAACAGTTTAGAAGTCTAGTGCTGCTTTAAAGACCCTACAATGCTAGTTTACATTTCATCCATTCTTTTATGTGGTTATTTCCACAGATTAAAAGGATCTCCTTGGCAGCCTCATCAGTCACCTATCGATTCTGACAACTCCCTCAAGTGGCTCTTTAACGAGACCGGACTCCAAGGCACCTTCAATTACCATCTTGTTTCAGGCTCTGATCTGGACGTGCAGTATTTGTGGCAGTTCAGAGCCTGAAGCTGCTGAACTTCAGCTCCTGCTGTTGTATGTTGTTTGGCAAATCAGTTAATTCAATGGATCATTACACCACTACGTAGCTACTTTCCAAAGACTGCACGGATTAATTGCTCGGTGCCTTCCAGAGTGCCTGCAAGAGCCCTTTGCTGGCATAAAGTTAACAATAAACTTTTGGTCCTCGACATCTCCACCGAGCTCCATTCAGCTAACGCGGCAGTAGTGATCACACTTAATAACACACTTAGAGGTATGAATTGCTGCTACCTTTCCTTCAGAGGCAGACGGCAAAACAGAACTTGGATTCCACTACAGTAGGTGCTGTCCAAGTTGAGCACAAGACAAGACACAAGGTAAGTACAGGTAGAGAACAGTGTAAAAAGGAGAACTGCAAAAAACATTACGTTGTACACAGCAACACTGCGCTCCTCATTCCAGAAGAGAACAAACCAGCACTGCTATTCAAAGGGAGAAGTTCTGCCTCTGTCCACCCCCATGCTCATGCAACACCCACCTCTGGTTGGGAGCACAACCGTTCAGCACCCAAACAGACACGTGTGTTAGGGAATGGACCCCGCTTAAAACCAGCCAATGCCCACAGCAGAACACCCTGTGTTAGCTGTAAGCGCCCATGTAAGTTCACTGTAGGAAGGTATGTTTGCATAGATCAGCTTTGGACAAGTCAGGTAATTTTAGGCTGGAAAGTCAGGCAGACAGTATATAAATGGGCTAAATCAGAAAACCTTAGAGGCTGTCAACCTAGCAAGGTGCCCTTGACAGAAAAGTCTCGATAAACAGTGTAAAAGTTCAGCTGAGACCAGCATGATGGACTAGAGAGTCTTGTAAGATTAGGCTTCTGATTCAAAGTCCCTGGAAGTCTTCCAGTGTCTGTGGCCACAAACGATGCTTGGATCAGAGCTTGGGGTTATGTACTTAAAGGAGGACAAGAAAAAGCCTACAGAGAGATTCAAAGGAGGCTTACAGAGTCAGAAATCAGGCCATGAGCATTATTTACTTCAGCAGGTATTTTCAATGAGTCTCAAGGAGGCTAAAGGGAAACTACTGTCAATGTTTCAGAGAAGAAAATAAGGGACTCTGATCACCTAAGTGCTGTGGACCAAGACACAGGCTGGGCATTCTCTATACGAATATATTCACATTTTCATGTGTGTGTATATATATAACAACATTCTGCACTTAACCAGTTTTCAGAATCCATGTTTTTTTCAACAATTTGCATCACAAAGTATTCCGAAGAAGGTTTCATTTCTGAAAGGCAGAAACTGCCCCGTGCAACCTATGTGCAAATGAGCGCCCAGTGAATGAAGAAAGCCTTTAGTATCCTTTTGCAAATGTACTTCATGGTGGTTAGTGAGGACAATGGCTTTGTTCTCACTTCTGCAGAATTAAAGATTAACTACACATAGGTATGTCTTAACAGCCTGTTTTATT